GAATAAACACCAATTTCAGGCCGAAATGGTTAGGGCCGGGGTGGTTCAGGATTTTGGAGGAAAATATATTTTTTTTGATTAGGCTAGTTACCCCACAATGAATGTACATACATGCCATTAGATGAATCCTGACCCCCATATCCCTTTGAAAGGGGCGTAGGAGCAAATATTGTGATAATTTGAACAAACACCAATTTCAGGCCGAAATGGTAAGGGCCGGGGTGGTTCAGCATTTTGGAGGAAAATATTATATTTTTTTAATAGGCTAGTTACCCCACAATGAATGTACATACATGCCATTAGATGAATCCTGACCCCCATATCCCTTTGAAAGGGGCGTAGGAGCAAATATTGTGATAATTTGAAAAACACCAATTTCAGGCCGAAATGGTAAGGGCCGGGATGGTTCAGCATTTTGGAGGAAAATATTATATTTTTTTAATAGGCTAGTTTCCCCACAATGAATGTACATACATGCCATTAGATGGATCCTGACCCACATATCCCTTTGAAAGGGGCGTAGGGGCAAATATTGTAAAAATTTGAATTATCACAGCTTTCGGGCCGAAATTAGAAGGTCCGGGGTGGTTCAGCATTTTGGAGGAAAATATATATTTTTTTTGATTAGGCTAGTTACCCCAAAATGAATGTACATACATGCCATTAGATGGATCCTGACCCCCATATCCCTTTGAAAGGGGCGTAGGGGCAAATATTGTGATAATTTGAACAAACACCAATTTCAGGCCGAAATGGTAAGGGCCGGGGTGGTTCAGCATTTTGGAGGAAAATATTATATTTTTTTAATAGGCTAGTTTTCCCACAATGAATGTACATACATGCCATTAGATGGATCCTGACCCCCATGTCCCTTTTAAAGGGGCGTAGGGGCAAATATTGTGATAATTTGAATAAACACCAATTTCAGGCCGAAATGGTTAGGGCCGGGGTGGTTCAGGATTTTGGAGGAAAATATATATTTTTTTGATTAGGCTAGTTACCCCACAATGAATGTACATACATGCCATTAGATGAATCCTGACCCCCATATCCCTTTGAAAGGGGTGTAGTGGCAAATATTGTAAAAATTTGAATGAACACCAATTTCAGGCCGAAATGGTAAGGGCCGGGGTGGTTCAGGATTTTGGAGGAAAATATATTTTTTTTTAATAGGCTAGTTTCCCCACAATGAATGTACCTACATGCCATTAGATGATCCTGACCCCCATATCCCTTTTAAAGGGGCGTAGGGGCAAATACTGTGATAATTTGAATAAACACCAATTTCAGGCCGAAATGGTTAGGGCCGGGGTGGTTCAGCATTTTGGAGGAAAATATATTTTTTTTTTTTGATTAGGCTAGTTACCCCACAATGAATGTACATACATGCCATTAGATGAATCCTGACCCCCATATCCCTTTGAAAGGGGCGTAGTAGCAAATATTGTGATAATTTGAACAAACACCAATTTCAGGCCGAAATGGTAAGGGCCGGGGTGGTTCAGCATTTTGGAGGAAAATATTATATTTTTTTAATAGGCTAGTTACCCCACAATGAATGTAGATACATGCCATTAGATGGATCCTGACCCCCATATCCCTTTGAAAGGGGTGTTGGGGCAAATATTGTGATAATTTGAATAAACACCAATTTCAGGCCGAAATGGTAAGGGCCGGGGTGGTTCAGCATTTTGGAGGAAAATATTATATTTTTTTAATTGGCTAGTTTCCCCACAATGAATGTACATACATGCCATTAGATGGATCCTGACCCCCATATCCCTTTGAAAGGGGCGAAGGGGCAAATATTGTAAAAATTTGAATTATCACAACTTTCGTGCCGAAATTGTAAGGGCCGGGGTGGTTCAGCATTTTGGAGGAAAATAATTTTTTTTTTTAATAGGCTAGTGTCCCCACAATGAATGTACATACATGCCATTAGATGGATCCTGACCCCCATATCCCTCTGAAAGGGGCGTAGGGGCAAATATTGTAAAAATTTGAATTATCACAGCTTTCGGGCCGAAATTCGAAGGTCCGGGGTGGTTCAGCATTTTGGAGGAAAATATTTTTTTCTTTTAATAGGTTAGTTTCCCCACAATGAATGTCCATACATGCCATTAGATGATCCTGACCCCCATATCCCTTTTAAAGGGGCGAAGGGGCAAATATTGTAAAAATTTGAATTATCACAACTTTCGTGCCGAAATTGTAAGGGCCGGGGTGGTTCAGCATTTTGGAGGAAAATAATTTTTTTTTTTTAATAGGCTAGTGTCCCCACAATGAATGTACATACATGCCATTAGATGGATCCTGACCCCCATATCCCTTTGAAAGGGGCGTAGGGGCAAATATTGTAAAAATTTGAATTATCACAGCTTTCGGGCCGAAATTAGAAGGTCCGGGGTGGTTCAGCATTTTGGAGGAAAATATTTTTTTCTTTTTAATAGGTTAGTTTCCCCACAATGAATGTCCATACATGCCATTAGATGATCCTGACCCCCATATCCCTTTTAAAGGGGCGTAGGGGCAAATATTGTGATAATTTGAATAAACACCAATTTCAGGCCGAAATGGTTAGGGCCGGGGTGGTTCAGGATTTTGGAGGAAAATATATTTTTTTTTGATTAGGCTAGTTACCCCACAATGAATGTACATACATGCCATTAGATGGATCTTGACCCCCATATCCCTTTGAAAGGGGCGAAGGGGCAAATATTGTAAACATTTGAATTATCACAACTTTCATGCCGAAATTGTAAGGGCCGGGGTGGTTCAGCATTTTGGAGGAAAATATTATATTTTTTTAATAGGCTAGTTTCCCCACAATGAATGTACATACATGCCATTAGATGGATCCTGACCCCCATATCCCTCTGAAAGGGGTGTAGGGGCAAATATTGTAAAAATTTGAATTATCACAACTTTCGGGCCGAAATTAGAAGGTCCGGGGTGGTTCAGCATTTTGGAGGAAAATATTTTTTTCTTTTAATAGGTTAGTTTCCCCACAATGAATGTCCATACATGCCATTAGATGGATCCTGACCCCCATATCCCTTTTAAAGGGGCGTAGGGGCAAATATTGTGATAATTTGAATAAACACCAATTTCAGGCCGAAATGGTAAGGGCCGGGGTGGTTCAGCATTTTGGAGGAAAATATTATATTTTTTTAATAGGCTAGTTATCCCACAATGAATGTACATACAAGCCATTAGATGCATCTTGACCCCCATATCCCTTTGAAAGGGGCGTAGGGGCAAATATTGTGATAATTTGAATAAACACCAATTTCAGGCCGAAATGGTAAGGGCCGGGGTGGTTCAGCATTTTGGAGGAAAATATATTTTTTTTAATAGGCTAGTTTCCCCACAATGAATGTACATACTTGCCATTAGATGGATCCTGACCCCCATATCCCTTTGGAAGGGGCATAGGGGCAAATATTGTGATAATTTGAATAAACACCAATTTCAGGCCGAAATGGTAAGGGCCGGGGTGGTTCAGGATTTTGGAGGAAAAATATATATTTTTTTTAATAGGCTAGTTTCCCCACAATGATTGTACCTACATGCAATTAAATCGATTCTGACCCCCATATCCCTTTGAAAGGGGCGTAGTGGCAAATATTGTAAAAATTTGAATTATCACAACTTTCGTGCCGAAATTGTAAGGGCCGGGGTGGTTCAGCATTTTGGAGGAATTTTTTTTTTTTTTTTTAATAGGCTAGTTTCCCCACAATGAATGTACATACATGCCATTAGATGGATCCTGACCCCCATATCCCTTTGAAAGGGGCGTAGGGGCAAATATTGTAAAAATTTGAATTATCACAACTTTCGGGCCGAAATTAGAAGGTCCGGGGTGGTTCAGCATTTTGGAGGAAATTTTTTTTTTTTTTTAATAGGTTAATTCCCCACAATGAATGTCCATACATGCCATTAGATGGATCTTGACCCCCATATCCCTTTGATAGGGGCGTAGGGGCAAATATTGTGATAATTTGAATAAACACCAATTTGAGATTTGAGATTTAAACTTCAAACTTAAGGATAGTATGTATCACCATAGGAAGACGATCTGATTAGATTTTGGAGCACGTTTGTCAAAGGTCAAGGGTCACAGAGGTCAACTTATGAAATTCCATACATTGAGATTGTTATCATGATATCTCAAGAACCACTGGAGATTTAAACTTCAAACTTAGTGATAGTGTGTATCACTATAGGAAAACAATCTGATTACATTTTGGAGCACGTAGGTCAAAGGTCAAGGGTCATAGAGGTCAACTTATGAAATTCCATACATTGAGATTGTTATCATATCTCAAGAACCACTGGAGATTTAAACTTCAAACTTAATGATAGTGTGTATCACCATAGGAAGACAATCTGATTAGATTTTGGAGCACGTAGGTCAAAGGTCAAGGGTCACAGAGGTCAACTTATGAAATTCCATACATTGAGATCGTTATCGCGATGTCTCAAGAACCACTGGAGAATTTTCACTTCAAACTTAATGATAGTGTATCACCATATCTCAAGAACCACTGGAGATTTAAACTTCAAACTTAATGATAGTGTGTATCACCATAGGAAGACAATCTGATTAGATTTTGGAGCACATAGGTCAAAGGTCAAGGGTCACAGAGGTCAACTTATGAAATTCCATACATTGAGATCGTTATCGCGATATCTCAAGAACCACTGGAGAATTTTCACTTCAAACTTAATGATAGTATGTATCACCATATCATAATATCTCAAGAACCACTGGAGATTTAAACTTCAAACTTAATGATAGTGTGTATCACCATAGGAAGACAATCTGATTAGATTTTGGAGCACGTAGGTCAAAGGTCAAGGGTCACAGAGGTCAACTTATGAAATTCCATACATTGAGATTGTTATCATGATATCTCAAGAACCACTGGAGATTTAAACTCCAAACTTGTTTAAATTGCTCTATGGCGGAGGCATCATTTTCGACTGCGCGCAGTCAAAATTCCATCTAGTTTGTTTTATAGAACAAATCTCCCAGATGCTTATTATTTCTTGTTAAAAAGGAAACACTTTGATGTGTAAGATTTGTATTACATTATACAACAAATGTACGAAAAGAAACAAGTGCAGTTGAATTGCACTCTTTCAAGGATCTGGGATATTTGTTCTATACAATTTTCTTACGATATGTCTGGTAAAGCAATGAAGTGAACCAATACTGTTCAATAAGTGTTGAAAATTATAGAAATAATGGATTTGCGTCTTTAGAAAGTATATTTAAAAGTAACTATGAGGCAAATTCTATGAACATAACGAAGAGGTGTCATTACTTTTGATTCTGCAGAAATTCATGAAGTGTGTTTTATTCCATATGCTATCTGTGACAGATGTTCTTCAAGGTATCAGACTACACACACAGTGGCTGTAAAGTGGATACCAGGTCAGTGCAGATCCAACCAAGTTCAAAGGTCAAGGTCACATCAGGTCAGTCAACATTTGATATCATAGCTATGCAGTATTGCTAGCATTACATTGGTTTAGCATGTTATAGAAAGACAAATTTGCAGTCATTTAGTCACCGTGTTGGCATGAAAGTGATGAAACATTCCTCCAATTCATACCATGCAGTAAAATTCTAAACTGTTTATGTCATGCAGTCTGTGATGTGTTGCTAAAAGCCAAGTTGCGATTAGCTGAACAAATTGTCCTCCATAACGCCTAAAAATAAAGAGGTTGTAATGCCCTTTAGGTGCCAAAACATGGGTCAGTTGGTCAGAATTTTTTTTTTTTTATTATTTCCCCTCCCTCTTTGGACTGATATTTCTCAGTTTTGAATGCTTCAATACATATTTTGTTATTCATTAAACATTTTTTTCCTAAAAAATGGTAATTAAAAAAAACTTGTTTAAAAAGCCGACCGTAGATTTCAAGAATTTTGGGTCGGTCGCAAAGGGCAATACAATATCTTTTTTTCAACGCCTAACTGAGGGCCATCCCCAAGATGGGAAGAATATAATATTGAATGTCAATGTTTAACCTCTTTTCAAATGTATTTCACACAAGAATCAATGAAGGCGACTGTGTTGTTGATTATTTTATCTTTGGCCATCCTAACCTTGAACTGGATAAAAGCTACCGTCGTTCTTGCCTTCCAAATCAAGTTTTTGATCTTTATTCAAACAGAGGACATAAACACGCATTCTGTATTCAATTGTTTTTCTTCCTGTTTGTCGCATATTTTCTACAGTTCGAGAATTCTTGTCGGTGGAGTATAAGGTGTGGAACTCCCAGGGGGACGCCCTCTCTTGCCTACCACCTGTCATGCAGGAAACGTGATGAGGGGATATTCATCAGGCAGAAAACAAGATCAGTCGGGGACCATTTGGTTGTGAGATACAGTGGAATTGCGGTGCAAGATGTTGCCTTTCAAATTTCCAAGTCTTATAAAAGTGAACATCCCAACGTGAAATAATAATTCACTCCCCACTTTTTTTTTATGATGAAATATGCCCTTTTCCCTCTTTATTTTTTGGCTTTTGCATCACTCTTATTCAAAGAAGTACTTCCTCTCATTTATTTTGAGGCTTCTGTAGCATCTGGATGAAGGTTCAGTTCATGTGATTGAAAATAAAAATGAAATAGGAGTTTGCATATAAGATTACTGAATAAATCAAGACTATTTTTTTTGTTTTATATCAGTGTATAGACTCCTGTACAAATTTTGCATTCACAAAACAGTACCAAATCTGCTATCTGGTTTTCTTACACAGTGGTTTACTTTTGATTTCAAAATATAGAACAAGGGATTTTAAAATATAATGAAATGAAAACGGTTTGATCTCATTTTGGATAAAACTTTATTACCTGTAAAGACAATCGGGCAAAAATAATATTCCCTTCTCATTTGTTGAAGAAGAAAAAAATTAGAAAAGCAAACAATTTCAATTGCTCAAGTTGTATGCTTAACCATCAGATATGATTGCCATGTGTCAGCTGTAAAGTACTCGGCCATATCAAGAACTTCTACACAGCAATGAAGACCTGTAAAAGATATAATTTGTATCATTCCACAATGCATTTTTATATTTTCCCAGAAATGTATGTTGTGATATATGCTGTATTTGTAATACAGACAAGATAGAGATATATTTATTTAAATAAAGTTTATAAACTATTACAAAAATATAAATGATGCTTGCAGCTTTGAATTTTGTGTGATCGTGTTGCACATAACAGATATATTGGAGGGACCAATACGAGTGGAATTCAAGTCTAGCATGATGGCAAGGTTGTTTGTTCAATGTTCTCACAAAGTAAAAATTATGATAAATCCAAACACTACCATGGTATTTCACAAAGGGAAGTCTTTCATAATTACCGGACCGGTACATGTACTACAAAACATACATGCCATTAATCAAGTCTATACGTACATTACACAAGTGCTTGAATAATTGTTGTTGGGTATAAAACCAATTTCACATGGACAATAACATTGATTTTCCTGTGCATTTACATGGCACAGACAAGTCTTTCCACTTATTAATGTACCCATTGTCAGAGAGTCATTGAAATAACATAATAATAAAATAACAAAACAAAGAAGGTCATGCTCCAGATTCTTATTACATGAATAGGATTATTGCAATTTTTAGAGAATCACTTGCCCTGATCTCCTATATATAGCACTATCCCAACTTTCCCAAGTAACACCTTAATTTCATTAATGATCTATGTTATCCTTTAAAAAAAAAAAATGGTTGAACTATTACAGGTAAAGAGTTAACAATGCATTAAGCAACAAACTCAAAGTATGTTTATTTTAACTACGGCAGACTGAAACTTGTCATATTTCTGTACTGACAAGACTCCTTAATCATTGTCTATTCTTCAGAAATTTTAGTCACATTCCCACTATTCTTCATTTAAAAGTAGTACAGTACAAACAGATTTCATAGGATAGCATATTTCCTATTCGGGTAGCTGACTGCTAATATTCCACAAAGACCTTTACAAAGGATGAAAGTCTTGCAAATACTCATTCCATCTTTCACTAAGGTAACAGCATTGCAAGGTTGCTATGCCTTTCTGGATTTACAACATTTTAAAGCTTTTTTTTCTTCTAAACTAGTTCTCCACTTCCAAGAATATCAGAGAGCAAGATGTCAAGATACTATAGATCCGTGCATTAAATGCACAAGTGCCCATACATTCCCTTTCAAACTTTACAGATGTCATGTCCATTGTATTGGCTGACTCCTTCAAAGTTCATGCAAGTACAAGACTTGATATAAAAATAGCATTAATCACTTGCTCAATATCAACATGATCCTTAGAGACCCAAACTGGTCATCATGCAAGATGACAAAACATTGCTAAGTTCTCCAGGAAGAAAATCAGTGATAAATTCCTTAATCTTGCTCATGCTATCTCCTCTTATTCTTCATCCAGATTTTGCTTGATGCTATCTCACAGTTTGATAGGGCCGATCCAAGAATGATGATCACTCCCTCCATGTCCTTCACAACATGAAAGTCACACAAGAACAACTTTTCCAATTGACTCTTGGGGAGAATGACATATAGTCCTCATGCAGGATGATAGCACTTTGTAAAGATTTCCCAGGCAGAAAATAAGTTGTATCTCTCAATTCAAACGTATAATCTCAGTCTATGGGTCCAGGTTCTCCTTCATGCCATCTTTACCAAGTCTCTTTAAATCTTTGAGTCCTTCCAGAGAGAGGTATCTGATCTCACAGTTTGGTAGGGCTGATCCAAGAATGTGGATTACTCCCTCCATGTCTTTCACAGCTGGAAGGTCACATAGGAATAGCTTCTCTAGTTTACTGTAGGTAGAATAAAATATTTTGTATTTGTATCAAACCAACTGATAAACTAGAACGATGACTAGTAATATTAGTTTATTAGCTTCTGATAAAAAAAATTAATGAAGAAAAAAACCAAACTGGTCTTTCCGAGGGTAGTATTTTAAAACAAAATTGTTATGCAGATTTCTAAAATACAGGCGAGTGATTCAAAGATATTCAAAAATATTCAAAGATGTAACACCATTTTTGCACACATAATTTAGTTGAAAACACCAATATGAACTGAATTCTTAGCAACTTTCAATTCACTTTTTAAAAAAGGGCTAATTTCTTCAATTGTATCCCATTCTTCACAATAAGAGTCCCCTTTCATTTTTATAAAAATCTTTTTGTATTTGTTTTTGTAGTTCCCATTATATATTATGCTTATTTCCAGAGTAGAAGTTTGAACTGCTTTAATTTGAATATAACTAGCGAGTAAACTTACTGAAGGTGATGAAGTGTTGCTAGCCCCTTATCTGTGACATCACCACAGCTGCTTATCTGGAGTTCTTCAAGGGAGTCTTTGAGATAGACTAGCTTGGAGACGCACATGTCCTGTAGGTAGGTGCAGTGGTGAAGCTTCACATATAGTAGGTGCTCCACTCCCTCTGCAATAGTAGTGATGGAAAATATGAAGAGCAATTAGTTATCACATGAGTAAATGTCTGAACCAAAGACATTGAAACTGTCACAGGTAAATACCTTTTGGATGTGTCATAGAACCCGGGCACCCCTCCCCCCCCCCCCCCCCCCCCCCCCCCCCCTCCGTGAACAGCGGGATACCATGCGTGTTACCAAAATGTCCGGTAAAGGGGTACTTTTCACGCACCAAAGTCTGACTCGTAGTACACAAAAATCTGGCCCGTATTGACTTTACACACCGGACTTACGGGGGTGTTTTCAAAAGGAGGGAACATGCATATGCGTACCCTAAATAACACTGAGTGGGGGGCCAGGCATAGAACTAACTCCTAATGATTTATGATTTAACCCATCATGATAAACTTCTTTAAAAACAGTGAGTTAATGCACTGATTCTAAAAAGCTGCATAGAATTACTGCATGACAATCAAGTATACATTCAGTAAATAGCTACAGATACATAATAATCTCGGATACTAATCAGGTATCCATTTTGTAAATGCATGATAATATAGGACTGCCTACAAACTTTTGAATTCTACATATTCCCTACATTTAAATTCTAGGTGACAAAACTGGTGTTTTGAAGGACAAAAAGTTGTTCAAAAAAAAGTATTAAAAATTCTTAACTACTGTACACTGGTAACAACACAAATAAACAAATTTCTTTTATAAATGCAGATTAGGAATTACAGATACATTCATCACAACGTCTAGTTCCCTTTTTGATGACTTACGGAAGTGTTCAAAACCAATGTGCATGATGGATGAATCTGTGGCATCCACTTCCACAATCTTGAGCCTGTCTCTGCCTCCAGTCGGTAAGAGGTTGTAGTCCACTGTCCATCTCTCAAAATCTCTGAACTTCACAGAAGCTCCGCATCTCAATAACCACTCTGCGGCGGCTCTGTCCGGTCCTACTTCTTTGATCCTGGATCGATCTACCCTGGACATGGAGAGAAGAAGAAAAGAAATATGACACAGTCACACAGACGGAGAGAGAGAGAGAGAGAGAGAGAGAGAGAGAGAGAGAGGAGGGTAGGAGGGAGCACATGAGATCAGCAGACAAATAAGAAGTGACAGAGAGACAGAACAAGAGAGCACAAGACAAATATAAAGAATAAATAAGGGTATGGAATTATTAGTGTGTAGATGAATTGTGAATGGAAATTGTAAAGGCGTGTTCACTGATCACACAACATAACTCTCTTTTTAATTTAACTACGAGGAAACAAGGTTGCACTGGCAATAAAATACATGATAAACTGTATTCCCTTTTCGTTATTTTATTGGGTACTGATTTGCAGACACAACACTTGCAAAGTGTAGTCATGCAAGCAAATAAATGATTCAGAATGAGAATCACATTAATGAGGATCGTGGATATTGCACGGAGTTTAAATGGTCATGTATGAGATGGACATGAATAAATGCAGTGAATGAATAGAGCTTACGACAATGGTAGAAATGACGTCGAAAGTCCATGAAGATGATGATGGATGAAACGAAGAAAGGGGCTCACGCGATGATTGTGCGGAGGCTTGATGATGGAAACGCGACTTCGTTGACGTGGCTGAAGAGCCGAGAAGAACGCGATGTCGATGCCGACGCTCATGATGATGATGAATGTAGCGCTCAGGCGAGAAGAAAAGAGAAGAGATGTGGCGCTCGACGACGAGGCAGTGAGTCGCTCGATGTCGGAGGCCCAGGTTGAAATGTAGACATCAAAGCCGGTATCGTGGTGATCGTGAAGAGCAATGAGTCGCTCGATGCTGGATCGATGAGCCGGACTTTGAAGTGAAATCATCCGAGTTGCAGTGAGATGGACTCGTTGATGAAAGTTCAGGCGAGCTACAGTGAATTGAGCTCGTGTGTGAAGAAGAAGCTAGCAGCTCCCAGCGGAGAATCAGGAGCCATGTCGGGTCCTGATTTAAGCGTTCCACTGCAAGACTGCCAGTCCTTTGAAGACGGAAGGATAAAGAGTTGATGTGCCATACAAGAGGTGATAGGCACGGAAGAGAATTCTCCAATTGAAATGCAGGAGGTTAGAATTGTAGAAGGATTTGCTCCTTGTGTATGCATTGAGCAAATTGTGATGGTAGAGGTGACATTCTCATATTGACGTGTTACTTCATCGAAGAACTATGAGAAGTGTAGTGGTGAAGAAAGTTAGACAGAAGATGTTGTTTTCATCCTTCTTGGGAGGCAGGATAAAACAAAGAGGGTACTATATACCAATTCTGGGAAGGGAGAGTGAGTCACTGGTGATTACCAGGTACAGGGACATTGAAGCCATTATGCTGACACTTGTTGACAAATATATAGGGGTGGCAGTGCCTGGCATAAGTCAGAGGGCAATGTCCTCCCAAATTGGGTTAGCAAAGTGACAAATGAAATTTGGAAATGAAGAAAGATGAAATGAGGAAAATACTACAAGGGAAAGAACAAATGAGAGAATAAGAATGCACAACAGTGCGAAGCGAAAAGGGACAGAGCATGAGAGACACAGCAGAGATATGTACAGAGTACATGTGAAAGGGAGGAAGATGAGAGTGAGATAGGAGAGAGAAGAGTATATGATTGTGCAAAGGAGTGGGGATAGAGCAACAACAACAAAAGGCTCCATTTCAATTTTATACAAATTTTTCGCATACTGATCTGTTGAGTATTTTTAATTACAAGAGCATGTTCCAATTACAACAAATTACCGATACAAAATATTTGGTCTCCTTTGTCATAACTTGAGTAGAACAGCATAAAATGTACATACATGTAGGTAGAGCTATCAACATCAAATAAAAATAATGATAACCTGTTATGTTAGGGCAGAAAATATCCAATACTTACTGATTAAAGACAGCATTCAACATCCCCCAAAGGGAACGTGATTCAAGATGGTGCTGTGGTAGAATACCTCTTGCAAGACATCTACCCTGGCCATACATCTAAAAACAGTATTGTAAATATTAAAAAAAAAGGATGAAAATATAAATAGATCTATTCATGTTAAAAATTAAATGTTCTAAAACTTGATGAACTCTAGTCTCTACTGTGAACAGATTTAAGAAATTGTGTAGGAGTGCTTAAGTTGAGGGATTGGGTAACATATTTTAGAACACACTTTAGTTTTACCTTGTCTTTACATCATGATATCACTCTTCAATTTCGATTAACAATACTCAATAGTCAATTCAATAGGACCACAATTTGTAACTCCAGGGAGCTCCGCGACGCGACGCCTTCGGCATCGGGCTCGGAGCTCCCTGGACTCTGGAGACAATTTCGGATGGAGGCGGGTCGGGCTAACTTACAATATATTGGCATAGTCTACACATCATATCAAATTTACATAAATCGGTAACCTAGACTAGGCCAATCAGACACACCCTTGCATACGAATTACATGAAATTACTTACATTTCTCCACAGCAAGCTTGCCATTTTAATGTTTACAAAATTTAATTTAATTTTGTAAACATTCGCTCAGCTCCGAGTAGGGTGTCGCCGAAACATAAAAAGGAAAAAGAAAGCAGTTTATCCAAGCCTACGTTCACATAGTCTGCATGTCTTCAGTTTGGATGACAATTATTTTTTTTCTCACTTTTATGTCAACTTCATAAATTAGGATTTATACTATTTGAGATAATTGGAGAGTTAAATAAACAAAAATGTCGTCGGCCGAAAGGACAGTGGTAGAACACCTTTATAAAGTGCTTGTTATCGGGGAATTCGGAGTTGGTTAGTATGCGAACTCAATCTTCTTTCAGTCCCATTCATACATTCTCATGTGCTGTATAACTGCGACAGAACTATGATGAGTGACGTTTGAGTTTGACTATGAGTGCAGAGAAATCGTGAGACATGAATGACTATGTTACACTATCTGACTATGTAGCATGCAGTATGTTCATGTTTGGCCAAACTTTGGAGTATTTGTTGTGAAAATTGTGAATATGACTGCGATTTTAACATCGATCCATTTTTGTGTGTGTGTGTTTGATCAGTCAGTGCGCGTGCGCTGGTCCAAGAATGAGGATCGGGTCCGCATAGACGAGGATATCCTTTATACGCGCACAAAAATTAAGGATTGTCCACATTTTCGTGGATACTTTTGTTCCTAGGCGCTCTGCAGGGGTCCCAGATCCGCGTGCTGGCGATGTGAAAAAGCGGATTCTGCATAATAAATACGTAATACCCCCAGTTCACCCTCTTCTCGAGGATTTAACCCTCATAGCGTGAAAGTCTCTGTACAAAGTCAATGTAAAATGAATCAAGAAAATCATTGCAGCACCCATTTTTCGCATCGCCAGCGCACGGACTGGAAATCAGAATCGTCAGCGAAAATGCGGACGTTTCTTATTTTTGCGGAAGTGTCTGTCCGCGTTTACGAAGAAGATCCTCGTTTGTGCGGACGATCCTTATTCTCGGACCAGCACCCCTGCTGGTGTGTGTGTGTGGATTTGTCTTTGCTTTTTGACTTGACCAGCTCCAGCCTCTTGGAGTTAGGTGCTTATAATCATTTATTAGTTAGATCTAGATAGTAGATCTATCTAATATGTATTATATATCTTGTATTATTATAGAATCTAGATTATTGTTATTATTATTATTATTATTATTATTATTATTATATTCAGTTATTTTATTTTATTATATTATTATTATTATTAATAATATCACCATTATTATTTATTTTCCACTTCTACAGGTCAAACCGTAAATGGTATGGGAAGGGGGTTGCAGTTCAGAAATGTGGCAAGATTTGGAAATGTAGAATCTTGTCTTTTGTATCATATTTATATTTTTTGTATGTGACTTTGTATTAAGATTAAGTTAATTCTAAATTTTGGACTAGTTTATCTAGATGTACGGCATCATGTAATGTTTCAGATAAATAAAGCGTGGTTTATGTTATTTCACAGACATTCAAACAATGGAAGTAGTCTTTAAATTTGTAAATTTTGTTTAATGTTTGTTTATTTAGCTTCAAGTTATTTATGTATTTAATTAGTTGATGTGATAATTTGTATTCTTTGTATTTTTGTTTGCAAAAGTTGCAAAAGAACTTGTCATGTTGCAAAATTTATTGATTGGAAACTGTTACCGGTATTTTGTTCAGGTAGATCTACATGGCCTAAACTGTAATTAAATTACCTTTCTTATCCAATGATTTTTTTTTATCTTTTCAATTTCCAAACATAGTAAATTATGTGGATGTGGTTCCTGATTTGGAATACCTATATTACATAACATGTACATCATGTCTTTAAGTCCTTAGATATCAAACTACAGTATTTACTAACAGTTGTGTTTCTTTTCTTTTAATTTTTCTTTCTATTTTGATGCTGTTCTCTTCTTGGAATAAATCATGGTGGCAGGAAAGGTAAATAAGACTTTCTTTAAAAAATGTTATTATTATTATTATTATTATTATTATTATTCACTATTAGAATTTATCTTTTAACTATTTCTATTCAAGAATGATATAGATAATTATTCCACTCTAAGATTCCACCCTAAGATACTTCCCTTTTCTGTGATTTCAAAGCATCAAAAGTCAAAACAAAAAAGTGACAAGTGTTTCAAAAAGTGAAAGTTAGCAAAGATCAAAAACATTGCTTTTATTTTGATTTTTGTTATTGTTTTAAATGCTTTTGAATTTAATTTATCTGAAAAGATGATTGGTACTACAAAAAATCGGAGAATAGCGTTGAAAAGAGCCATAACTAAAGCTTTTTCGACTTGCACTCATCAGAGTAAAACACAAGAATGAAACAGAAAGCCGAAATCGATCAATATAAACGGAAACTAAACGGATCAAGTCGTGAATATAACTTATAATTTGATTTATAGTAAGCTGTGTAGTAGTATTACAGAATTAAAACATGGTTGATACTTAAATAATTATTGTATTGTTATAAGTTTGCCTGGATTCTATGCTGTGATGTAACCTTTTCTTTCAGCACTGCTGCACTGATCTCCTGTAATCTTTGATACTTTCTAGGGAACAATACAAACTCCATGTATGTCTTTCTGTTGAGTGCACAATAATTATGGAATGATTGGAATCAATTGCTCCTACAGAAAATAGCTTAAATGATTACTAGTATTACAATACATCTCAGGTATATTAATCTCATTATAGATAATTTGTTTTATTATGATTTTAAAGATTGTATCTTATGATTTTCCCACTCCCTTTAGACATCACTCATCAGGAGATATACAGAAGGTCAGTATTCATTAGTATTCATGTACACAAAATAGAATACTTGGCAAGTCCATAGTGTTTTGTCCCTGGATAAGTTATTTACTTACGACATCTAACTTTGATGATTGTACTTCAGTGATAGCCTTTCTATAGATGGAATCAGACCAGAGTCACCAGGCATACAGGAAAATTGTAGTTTCAAACTTTCATTGTTCATATTTGTTCTAAATTTCATGATAGTTGATAACTTATGGGACAGAGAGTCAGAGACTGACAAAATACATTGGACGTGGATTCCAATAATCATGAAGAAAAGAGGGAAAGTAGACATCACAACCCTAGCCCTATTTATCCTGGTAGATTGTACATGTATAAAAATGTGTTATTTCCCTTTAAAAAACGATAGGAAACTGATTGTAGTCACATGATTGTAATAGAAAGTTTGTGGTTTTAAGTTGGTATCTCCAATGTCAAGTACATTATGATCATTATACAAAAACGTGGGTACTTATGTATATATAAGGATGTGATCTGCAGGCATTTTATAACAAGAATGAACCAATGTGTGGTTTACAACAAAATATTGTGCATTATTCTTTTTTTTTAAGTACCCCCTGTAGTTGTACTCAATGTTTGGTATACATACTGGGTATTAATTTTGCGATAATGTTTGATTAAAAATATGGCACCTGTTGTTTTATTGACAGTAAAATGGAAACTTAAAATGTTCATATTTTCAGAATTCATTAAAAAGAACCATACATGTACATGCACACTGTAGGATTTCCTTGTTTATTGCTAGAACTTGTATTTTATGGATACGATAAATCATAAAAATGTCAGTATAAAGATCTGAAATGTACATTTTTGTGGAAATGTTGTATAGCAATTTTGTATTTGTTGTTGTTCTTATTTTCTTGCATAGTATCTGTTAAACTCCCAAAATGTACATTGATAGATTTAATTTGTCTTATTATATTTCTGTGTGTGGGCATGTGCTTGTGTGTGTGTTTAATTGTAAAGGAAATCTACTTTCCTTAGTCTTACTTTGCTATGTAACTTCATTATACTTTTTTTTTCTATCATGATACTTTTCCAGGTTACTTCTCACCAAACTACAAATTGACAATAGGTGTTGACTTTGCTTTGAAGTCATTAGACTGGGATGAGAATACAAGAGTTAATTTACAATTGTGGTGAGATAATGTATGATTTTTTTTCTTTAATTAAGAATTTGAATTGAGAGAGTTAGATCTAGATGAATTGAAATCACCATTCAAATAGATAATGTATGTATTACATGTATTTGGTTATATCATTTTATTAATAAATGATAATATTATTTTCACATGTTTTCTAATATGTTCAATATTTAACTGCATGAATTCATTTTCACTCAATCTGATACAGGGACATTGCTGGTCATGAGAGGTTTGGTCACATGACAAGAGTCTACTATAAATATGCGTAAGTACATAAAAGTATTCATGAACTACCAAATGTGTATTTAAAAAGTCTGTTTCACTTGTATAATGAAGTACATGTATATAATTATTTGATTCAACAATCGAAAACTTGAATACAAGGGGTTAGTGTTGTAAAACAGAAAGTATAGCTATGAATGTTGCTGTATGTTGGAATCCCAGGGAGGTTTAATTTTACTGTAAATGGCTTCATAAATTGCTAAGATGTGTGCTAGTATTTGGTTACATTCTCCTTATATTTCATGATAATATTAATTATTTCCTGTATGCATTAAATAATCTATCACAGGTGCTATTCATAGACAAATTAAAACAAAGTGAAAGAGTTTATGATTGTAAATGAAGTGTTTCCACATTTTTTAAAGGGTCGGGTCAATCAATCCTTTATAGATATAGTGCTCTGTCATCAGGTTTATATCAGGTTTGAATTCAGGTTTTATACTTAAAGCTTTTATCTTCTTCAAACATTTTAATATGACAAAGCCCTTTCTCGGAAATCAACTTTATATCCACATTTAAATGATAAGAGATGAGATACATATGTACATGTAGTCTTACATTTGCTACTAGAATATCAAACGTATTGTTTGCCACTTGTGCCAATTTTTTTTATTTTTTACAAAACCCCAAAACCTTATACTCTCGTCACAACGAAGTAGTTCTATAGTACTCTTGTAAGTTATCTCTTCTTTCATCCAGATTATAAAAATACACACCAACTACTCAAAGTCTTTTAAATCACAATCTTCAGAAAATTAATTATTTGTTTTATAAAACGGTTGTGTACAATATAAAATTAAAGTCAAGAAACAAGCAACAAACCTGATAAAAATTCGAAGAAATGAACAATCAGGGGGAAGGTGGGGGGGGGGGGGGGGGCACAGCCATTTGCATTGAATGTCATCACAATACAAAAGCTCAGCCAAACAGGGTAATGTAAGTCTTGGTGTGCACATCAATAAATTTGCCACTGGTATTATTACCATGTGCCTTTCATCGAATCCTAATTTTGTACTTGCCTGTGATATGCATGCACATAATTGCACACCTTACATGTAGCTGTGTATTATCACTCTCAGCTGTGGGTTATCACTTTTTGAAGGGACATTTCTTGCACGATTGGTATGGTAGGAAAGAATGATGCACAGTCACATGGTGTCATTTGACCAATAAGATTGCCAACATTTGTAGAACCCATTTTATAATGTTAAATCTGTACTTGGTAGCAGTGACATCATATGGGGATTATGGTAATATATGAAATCTGATTTTTCCTTCCAATTTCAGCATTGCTGCTGTAATAGTATTTGACCTGTCAAGGTAAGATATTTATAATCTTATACACTTGGTTTATTATGTCTCGTATTAGATGAGCAAGTGCTTTTAAATGAATAAATGCAGTATAAATGCCCATGAATTTACAATGTATTTGTTTTTATTTGGAAATAAGAATGTGACGGTATAACTATAAGCTACATATTAAAATAGGATACCGGTACCCACGGTATTGATGAATCAGAGCAAGACGGTTGTTAACTCTTTGTATGTGAGTTAATACCTTCTGGCTCCAAACGATATGAACAAATGACAACTATATGTTTGCAATATGTACATACAGGTGTATATGCTATGCATGCCAGATTTCTTTTGAAAAACGACATGATTGGATTCACCTACTATGCACTTAAAGAACAGTTATGTTTGTGCCGGTACTAGTATTTGCTTGCGGCTTGCCTGTGCATGTACACTACAGTATGTATTTTCATGTGATATATACAGTTATGAAGTATAATGATAATTTAGAGTAATAGAGTTAGTACAACAATTTGTCAATGTATGTGTAAGAATGTATTGCTCAGGGCATAAAGTCAAGGAATAGGGGAACTGCAATTCATTCACTTTTGTATTTATTTTTATATATCTTAGATAATCAAATTTATTTCATTCATCACAAAAAAACATTTAGATAAAATAACATACAATATTGCATACATATAAAGATAAAATAACATACATTACAAAGATAATCATACAATATAATATCTACATAAAGGTAATCTGGACAAAATAAAGGGAAAAGTGAGTCTTTATGAGAATGAAGAAACACAGTACACAAAAAGGGATCCATCTACTCAATTTCAGTCCAATTTCATAAAGCAATCAATTTGAAATGGACTAGATACCTAGAATGCATGTACATTCATCCTGAATATATTTTCTTTTGAAAAAGACAGAAAGGTAGTAATGTTGTACTATTGACTGGTTTGTAAAGTTAAACTTGGTTTATATTTTGGTCAACTAACTTACAAAGTTCCAAGTGTCAAACTCGTCATTCTGCGAAAACAAACAATCTTAACAAAATTATTCCTTTTGACATAATATTTTATTTGAATATTTAGTTTCTAAAGAAATATATTTTCAATGGGGTTGAGGGGCTCGACATGTAGTGCTCTACGGTATTTAAAAATTATTAATATATTGAATCTTCCGATTTTAAAGTTGGTACGCTGTTATGCATACTGGCTTTTGAATGCTCTTTGAATGCCCATCTTATGTATGACTTGATACTGCATGACTCACACATCTACATGTATCACTCTTTCCTTCTAGACCGGCCACATTTGACTCGGTATTAAAGGTAGGCATGTTGACATCACTGTAGCTTTAAAAGAGTAGAGATTGCCCTGCTTTGTAGAGCATTTGCACAATCGCACGCACATATGCTACCTTCCAGCTCAAAATGGATGATCGTCTTATGTGTTTTTCCTAAAAATGAGGTTTCTCTCAGCTTTTGAATGGAACATGTGTATAACTTTGATTTTACAAAAAGTGAACCAATTTCAACTCATGTTAACCTCTTTATGTACCATTAGGTTATTGCAATCATTTGTGATGAATAAACTTTTAATATTAAAGCCAAAATTTGGGTTTTGCCTTTAGTCAGTTTATTATTAACAATTTGCTAACATGTCTACCATACATTGCTGTAAGAACAGATTTCAAAATGTACCATATTTCATTCAGGAAGAAACTTAGCATAAACTTTAAGTGTAATATTTTACATAGGACTAATGACTTTGTTATCTATAAAAGGGTTAATACACAGCCATCAGTAGGAAAGTAGCGTTACAGTTTGGATCAAGAGAGGGTACGAGGTAACCCCCCTGCCATTGAATACAGCACTATTAAAGGATTTTTAAGCTTTAAATCTGGCATGTATCCTTGGATTAATTCTTATGAGAAAAGGAAAATTGTCTTGGGCGGTGGATTATTGATTGAAATTGGAAGTCAACCAGTGTCTGAATCTGCTTTATTGCAGATTCTTTTTCCAGTTGAGTACCCGCCTCTTAAATAGAGTATTTACATACTTTGTGCAGTACTTTTGTGCCGTGTGCAGGGTGTTATACTTGTATAAGAGTACTATGCTTTCTTAGAAATCACTATAAGTCTAGACATGCTGAAATGACCATCAGGAGTGCACATCTTTACAAGAAATCAAATGTAAAAAAAGAAATAAAGAAATTTACCATGATAATTTTCGCTCTCTCTCTCTCTCTCTCTCTATATAGCTTTCAACTTTTTTTTTTACAATGGTCCAAATAATGCTAAAAGTAGTTTCATCATGCATACATAATTCAATGTTTTGCCAGTAAATCTTGGGGCATATTGTGTTTCACTTTCACTGCACTGCACTCTTTCAATTCTAAACATCTTATAAATAGGCATCACCCTATATATATATCCATGTAAAACTCAAGTATGTTTGTATCTAAACCAACATATTCTTAAGCTGCTATTGTTACTTCAAGATATATTTAGGTTTTATTCATGTTTATTGATTTCAATTGTTCGTTTCTGTTTTTATCTGATGATGCATAGTGGTCAACAGATGTTCATGAAAAAGTGATGTTAGCTAATGAGCAACCAGTGCCTCTCTTACTACTAGCAAATAAGGTAAGTGCATGAGAGCATTACTAAATGCAAACAGAATGAATGGAAATCCCCCCCCCCCCCCCTCTCAAAAAGAAAAAGTAATAATACAAAAAATTGTAGCACAAGTGTGTAACACCTTGTTACTTGAAGCTTGTAACGTGATTCAGCGCCTACTAAGATATTTGACCGAGTTTGAATTTGGTTGCTGAAATTGAAATTTGAAAGATACTCATGTGACTCTCATTCCCCATCACAATTTTCAGACCCATCTCTCCTTTTTTTTTCTTCAAGTTACTCTCACTTTTTAAAATGTAATGTTATGAGCCATTATTTGTCTTGCCTTACTCAGATTAGACAGTCTAGTATAGTCGCCCGATGGTCCATCTTGGTCCATTTTGGGCAACAGCCAATGTCAAACCAGACTTATACATGTAACATTTCTGTGTCCCTTCCTTTGAATATGAATACCGGTAAATAACCATTCTCTCCTTATTAGTGTAAATATTTTACATGATGGAAGGTCTTTTCCAATTTTATTTGCAAGACTGTAAACTTTTCAATTTTTTCTTCTCATCTCCCTACTCAGTGTGACTTGCCAGATACAGTGTTAGATGCAGACATGCTGGATCATTTCTGCAAAGAAAACAAGTTCATCGGCTGGTTCGGAACATCTGCTAAGGATGACACCAATGTCAGTAAGTAGGACCATCTATATTTTCTCATCTCATCACTCTCTCTCTTCTCCTATCTTCTTCTCTCTCTATCTCTCTCTCTCTCTCTCTCTCTCTCTCTCACCCTTTCTTTCTACAAAACTACCACTAATACAAGGAAATGAACAGTGTTAAATATGTTCTACATGTATTTGTACAGTTTTCGGTTGGTAAGTTGTATCTTTTTATAGTGAAAACTAACTCTTACAATGATTGTTAAATTATAGAAAAAATTACAAGGTCTAGTCAATACTCTAAAGCCTACCGGTATTTAGAATAGAGATCTCGGCATTGATCACTTTCTATTGATAGAAAGTTTCACTTGTCGATTGCATGTTTTGAAAAGTGAAGGGGGTTTATTCATAATTCATAACTTAGTGAATTACATTGTACACCACTGTAGTATGCAACAGATGTACATGAAATTAGATTGCCCAAGTTCGCACTGATTTGCACCGTATTCAGCACATGCATTAATGTGGATGTAATATTTTCACTTTTAGCACTGTCACTTTTTATTATCTTTTTTTATTTCTCTTTTTTTATTTCTCTTCTTTATTGCACTCACGAAGTTGGTATTTGCTCCATGTGATATTTTTTTTGCATGCATTGTGAGCCGTATAAATTACATAGCAGTTTGATTTAATGTTCTGATACAAGAAAATATCTGTAATTGTCTTCCTTTTGTACTTTCTCCACTTTTATTATTTTCCTCATTTTATTTACTTATTAATTCCTCTTTGTCACATTTTGTTTGTACTGAACTTACATTGGTCATTGCTTTTAAAACTTATTTACTGAAGCTCAAAGAGTAGGGCAATATAAGTGAATGAAGAATAAAAAGTGAGAGGAGTATCGAAAAGTATTTAATCAGAAATAAAATGTCGGTCTGAGAGGTCATGCAAACAGAAGAATAATTTTTTGGTATTTTGATGATAGTATGGAAAATGAACAGGTGTTTGTAAATGATTACGTCAGTTTAACATCTCGTAAATCATAGACAATGGCATATATATTGATGAAAATATGACTGATAAAAGTCAATAACAAAATACAGGAAAGATTTGCAGGTGCAGAATGTTTAGAATAGATTTATCGATATCATATATTGATTGATTGGTATTGGAAGATTCCCTCTTCAAAATAGTTTGGGGCCCACAGTAATCATCTCTAAAAAAAAATGTTAATTTTGAGATCCATATTTTCTGCCTTCAGTGGTCCTCCGTAGAGCGTCAAGATTTGTGACGTCACAACGAGATACAGCTAGCCATAAAATTACATTTTACGCCTTTTCCATGATATCTCTATGATTTTTCAGCAAATATTCGTGTTTTTCAAGAGAAAATCTTTCCATCCATATATAATTTGTCCATAATAATCAGTTGTCTTGAATTTTCTTTGGGTGACTACTTTAAGCAGTTTTGATAATGATCCCTAGGGAATAGTTTTTTTATTACAGTTATGGCATCAAAGTATATTTTTGTTGGGAATTACTGAATTAGGTTTGAAATGATTATTCAAATCTTGCTATAGGTCAACCAGGGTGATAGCCAACAAGTGCACCTTGATAAAAATGCACATGTGTTGATACATTCAAATGCACATGTTTTGATCAAAACAAACGCACCTGTGTTGATCAATACAAAAAGGGGGGGGGGGTGACTAGAATAATGAGCTGTTGCTTCTGCATAATTGTATCTAGGTTAGGTTTAGAAAATATTGAACACTACTCTATTTTTCAATCTAAACTAGTGCTGTAACATCACGGATATCTCCAATTCCGTTTAACCGCCAGTCAAAACCGGACGGTTTTCGGTTAAACGATTAAAAAAAAAAAAAAAAAAAAAAAAAAAAAAATCGTTTTTTTTTTAGTTTTTTTTTACCGACTCTCTCGGCAGCAGGTCCGTGTGAAAAAGCGGGAAGGACTTTCATTTAACTGCGAGGTGCATTTAAAGGGGCCGATTTGTGATGGGGAACTTGTCACAAATAATAGTAACAATGTCGTTTTTAGAAGAATGTGTAAGATCATAAATGTAAATTAAAAACAGTAGAGGACCTAGGATAGAACCATGTGTAAAAGTTGGATGAATTATTATTATAAACTACATATTGAGATGATGAGATCTATTACAAAGATTATTTTCAAACCAAGATGACAGACAAATTGGACTGTTGTTCTAGTTTTGGAGTGGTGAGTCAACACACAGATTACTGAGCTGGGAGACATTGCCAGGCATAGTGCCAGGTGGAGGGGCATAAATCGAAACTTTAAAAAAAAAAAAAAAAAAAAAAAATTATAAAAAAAAAAAAAAAAAATTATTAAAAAAAAAATTTAAAAAAAAAAAAAAAAAAATCGGGAAAACGAAACCGTCCAATTGAAAACGGAATCCGCCATGGGCGGTCGGATACCGGACGGTTAAACGTTTGACTACAGCACTAATCTAAACCATATAAAGTTGAACAGTAAAGATTTATTATGATGTACTTTGTTCTCAATAAATGATCTTCTGACTTATAATACTGTAGTTGTGGACAAGTTTTATTGCAAGGTCATCTGTATGGAAGCAAAAGGGTGTTAACTCGTTGCCCAACTGAATTATCTCACTCCCGTAGACCTTTGCATAACAAGCACCCGGTACCTGTAGGCAGTAGGTTAACTCATATCACTCAGAGTGTATGCCCTTCTTGTTCCTAACAGACGATGTATAGATTGTCACATGCTTTTCATCTGTTTAAGATAGTGCACTCCCTCTAGATTGGTTAAACAGCACGCACATGTGCTCTTTCAACCACTTGCCAGAAGCCTTTCATGTATGCTAACAGAATGCATTTATTAACAAAAATGTTAAAGGTAATACAAAGTTTTGGTAATATTCCAACAGAATTGGATTATGAAATTTAGAATTTGCATTACCATTGTGAAACCTAGTGTTAGAATGAGCAACTTTGACAAAATTGGGCTCTGGAACTCTAAGGATTTCGAGAAATTAAAATATCAAAATTATTGGTGCTATATAATATATGATAAATGATAGCGCCTACGGTCATACAATGGTAGCTGCGACCTTGAAAATCTCGGAATATGCACTTGTGATATATAACTTCAAAATGGGAATAGAACATCGGTCGATTTTTGTCAAGAACCATTGTTTTGAAGCTTAAGTAATATCAATCTTGAGAGGGAGCTATACAACATAAAGAGTCTATTATTCACTATTTCATCACTTTAGACTGATTTTCAACCGCGACAACGATCATTGAATATTGTAGGATTGCATATGTTCATTTGAACCAAATTCATGACCCAATCACAAAACTTGTTATTAAAGGTAAAGACCAGTTTTGGAAATGCCCCCCTCTCAAAATATTAAATGGAAGCTCTTATTACCAATCATGTGAAATAATATATTTTGACTAATACGTGATGATACAAATTTTGCAGTGAAACCGCCTACTAATTGATGTATTTGGTAAATTATTATATCTATTTGGACCGGATAGATATCGTGCACGTGTCACGTAGTCATGTATACATCTTTCTGTGTACAGTGCTTGTAACTTTACCAAGACTGGGCCAAATTTCTTATCATTTTGATGATTCCAGAACCTTGCAGTACACACCAATACTTAAATGCTGGATGCTGGCGCGTACGCAGGGGGGGGGGGGGGGGGGGGTTGGGTTTAAACCCCCCCCCCCCCCCCTTTTTTAATTTTTTTTTATGCCTCCGCCACCAAAGGTGGTGCCGGAGGCATCATGTTTTCGGGTTGTCCGTCCGTACGTCCGTACGTCCGTCCCGTTTGACCGTTTATCTCAAGAACCATTTAAGATTTAAACTTAAGACTCGGGAATAGTATTTATCACCATAGGAAGACGATCTGATTAGATTTTGGAGTACGTAGTTCAAAGGTCACAGGTCACAGAGGTCAACTTATGAAATTCCTTGTATTGAGTTTGTTAGTGCGATATCTCAAGAACCACTGGAGATTTAAACTTCAAACTTAGTGATAGTGTGTATCACTATAGGAAAACAATCTGATTACATTTTGGAGCACGTAGGTCAAAGGTCAAGGGTCATAGAGGTCAACTTATGAAATTCCATACATTGAGATTGTTATCATGATATCTCAAGAACCACTGGAGATGTAAAAACTTCAAACTTAAGGATAGTATGTATCACCATAGGAAGACGATCTGATTAGATTTTGGAGCACGTAGGTCAAAGGTCAAGGGTCACAGAGGTCAACTTATGAAATTCCATACATTGAGATTGTTATCATAATATCTCAAGAACCACTGGAGATTTAAACTTCAAACTTAATGATAGTGTGTATCACCATAGGAAGACAATCTGATTAGATTTTGGAGCACGTAGGTCAAAGGTCAAGGGTCACAGAGGTCAACTTATGAAATTCCATACATTGAGATCGTTATCGCGATATCTCAAGAACCACTGGAGAATTTTCACTTCAAACTTAATGATAGTATGTATCACCATATCATAATATCTCAAGAACCACTGGAGATTTAAACTTCAAACTTAATGATAGTGTGTATCACCATAGGAAGACAATCTGATTAGATTTTGGAGCATGTAGGTCAAAGGTCAAGGGTCACAGAGGTCAACTTATGAAATTCTATACATTGAGATTGTTATCATGATATCTCAAGAACCACTGGAGATTTAAACTCCAAACTTGTTTAAATTGCTCTATGGCGGAGGCATCATTTTCGACTGCACGCAGTCAAAATTCCATCTAGTTTATTTTTTTTTTAATAAAAAAATTTAAAAAAAAAATAATTATGTCAATGGCTGACCTAAAAAAGGTGACCTTACCCCCCCCCCCCCAACTGAACAAAATGTCAAATTTTCAAATTTCGAGACCAAAATTTTTTTTTTTTAAATGTCCTCTTTTCCTAAAAATATGCATAATATTCAAAAGTGTGATCCCTTTCCCATATCCTCTTTCTCATTTCTATCTTTTTCCCCTTTTATTTCTTTCTTTACAGTGTAGTGCATGCATTTCTATGAATACTTTGTATAAATATTTTGAATTAGATTTTTGCTGTAGGTGTATTCCATGTTCTTTTTATTGAATTATATATTGAATGTAGTGTTGTAAATGTATTGTAATGTGAGCTAGACTCCAGGTATAGCTTATTAAAATTAAGATCCTTTTTGTTGGTGTTGACAACTTCTTGAATATATTTGTTAAAGACAAGTTAATCACTTGTAAACATCATTGCCCTCCATTTGCACCTCCTGTATGCTCTTTACTCAGTGGTCATTTTCTGAGGTCATTACACAGTGTTGGCCAAGGACATTGATCTGGTTGAATGATACAGTAGTTTGCTATTACTGTATATACACTAGTTTGCTATTACTGTATATACACTGTACTGACATATCTGTACCAGTATTCAAATTTTGTGACTCTGCCCTTACACAAGATATTCAGTGGGACAGATAGATATTCTTTAAAAAAAAATCAACACTAAAGATGTGGTTTTAATAAAATGCCATTGTTCCAGAGTGAGCTTTTTAGAGGTTAGTTTCTAGCCTCATAGTGCATCCAGATTCCAAAAATTAATTATTTTTGAAGGAAAATCAATGTTAGTTTTAATCTCTAGATAAATTTATGAAACTCTGCATTACTCAAACAAAATAATAATGACATATTTAGTTTTACCATCTATTTATCAAATCTCTGTATTACTTAATAAAAATAATCTAAAATGGCGCCCATGTCAAAATGATGTGAGCTCACGGTGCAGATAGTGACACAACAATACATGCGCAACTAAAAACATTGATGGCGCAATGTTTTCTTGTAAATTAAAATGGCGGCCTTAACCGTGAAAGGGTGTATTAGTTTCACCCTTTATACATTGATCAAGCCTCTGCATAACCTTTAACCTCCTGTATTTGTACCATCCATCTCACTTCAGCTGATGCCATGTCATACCTGGTGGAGACCATCCTCCAGCTGACCTCCGAGGGCCAGAAGCCTCAGGAACATATCTCAGTACATCAGGACCAGGACTACCTGACAGCTATGAAGGAGAAGAGGCAACAAGATGCACTCCAGAGCCAGCAGAAACAAAGGAAGAAAGCAGAGGCCAAGTGCTGTCCCATATAGTAGGACCAGGTCTATAATGTATTAACAGGACTATAATTCCGCCCAGGACCGTAATGCGGGAGTATAACTTGATCTTAAGAACTTGGTCTGTAGAACAAGTAGATAAGAAGAAGTTCTGTAGAAGGTTATAAAAGTACACCTTAATGTGAGGTAGGTATAGCACATGCCTTTTGCAGGAACCCTGACTATGGTGAAAAGCTCTTTAGTACAGAACCCAAAAGACACACAGAGGTGCTTGGATGATATGTAGGTTCTATGCATGTATATACAAGCACAATATCACATCTCGTAATTAGATAATCAGTTGGCTTCTATCTAAGGAACTGATTTTGTCATTTGCCCAAACTGCCAAAATAATGGTTTCAGTGAAGACATGAGCCGAATTCTGAAAGCGATGTTATCTTGTATGTTAGGAAAGAAAATTTATCTCAGTTGTCATAACAAACTCGAGAGCTGAACTAACAGATGTCTTGTATGCCTACACAGTCATCTTTGCACTGACATTAACCAATTACTTGTCCTAATTTTAATTTGTAATGAGAATTAGTATCTCATTTTCTAAACGATAACATCATTTTCAGAATACCACCCATGGTCTTTACTAGACTTCCATTGCTTCAAACAGAAGTAGGCGTACATGTTGCTGAAGAAAAAAAGCAGGTATTACTCCTAATTATTTCATAAACTGTTTTACATTCTAAATGGTGCTTGACTCATGTTTTACAGTTCAAGTTGGTGTAAGTTGGCTGCTAGGGCAGTGTACAGCAAAAGATCTCTTTTTAGTAGATTTCATAGTATGTGTAAAGAGAATGCACATTGACTAACCCTTACTTCACAGTTGCACAATATTAACACTAGCCCACACACTTTAATACCAGAGCACATGTACAAAACGTATGCCCTACAGCAACTCAAACAGTGATGTCAACAAACATCCGTTAGACTGGGATCTGCATATTGAAAGTTACCGGTACATGTATTTCTATAATTAGACATACATGTTACATGACATTCTTTTACTTCAAAGTATAGTGTAGTGTAGTAGTGGTCATTGGTGATGATGCTGGTGATGATGACGATGATGATGGTAATGATGAATGAATATGTTAATGATGGCAATGCATTTGTATAGCACAAGTATCAGCCTCAGCTTGGCTCTCGAGGCACTCTAAGTGAAATTAAATATACTTATAACAGTCTGTGCTTCAATTTTAGAATAATCTTTACCATAATTGTTTAATTGCAATAATTATTCTTGTGAAGATGCCACAGCAGGGAGCAGATAGTTGATAGTTGACCCAGCATTGACAGTTATTGTGGAAGAGATTCATTCCATGGTTGTCACATGCTATGGGGCCAGTGCCACCTATGCAGTGCAGTCTCTCAATTGAGATCAATTCTCAATGTGGTGAAAAAGGGCATCAGGTCAAATGTCTCCCCCCCCCCCCTCCCCTTTCACAATCTGATAATAATGTGGACCCTCATCATATTGTAATTTGAATGAATTTGAAAGAATTTGACTGAAAGAAATAGAAAGGGTCTGCATTATCTATTTTTAGGGAGAGGGGGGTGACAAAAGCTTGTCAAATGTTGTCCCTATTCGCCCCAGTGTCCTTATTCAACTAGTTTTACAGTACACATTTTTAAAAGAAATTTGTGTGAAATACTTTTCCAGTACTATTATGAACAGACTGTTTGATAAGAAGGCCCATTGGGAGAAAGTGCATAATGTAGATATATGATACCATGTGATACCATGTGATACCATGTGATACCATGTGATACCATGTGATACCATGTGATACCATTCCCTGACTCCCACTGAGAGACCTATACAAACAGGGGGAAGAGAAATACATCCTATTGTGATGCATATTAATTATATTCTTAGGAGCATATTATATTTATATTGGATATTTTTACTCAAATTATATGAAATTCCACCATTAAGGAATATTTTAATACAGCTCCTGCATGTGATGTGAACTGGAATGAGCAATGTTTTTTAAAAATATTATCATTATGATTGTATTCAGGTATTTATTTGACTTGTGTAAAATAATAAGTACCGGTACATTAACTGTACACTAATGTATATTTGAATGATGAACAAAATGAAAATATATTTTGAATGTAGAACCCCTCTTTAAATTGTTGAGGCATGCAATTTTCTCCAAATCATAGTATTATATAATGTTCGGTATATGCCTCAGATATATATCATATATTTTAGTATCAAGGTTATTCATTGGATATATTTTTTAAAGCTTAGAAATTTGAATGCAATATATGAAAGTGTGTATTGATATTTATTTGAAAAATGAATTCATGAAGAAATGATAGTGGAATGTAAGACAATGTGTTCCAAATAATGTTTTATCAGTCAGGGTGACCAGATTTTAAATTTTGGAACATGGGGCATTTGAGGCCCCTTCTGATTACCAGGGATCCACCATCGCAATTTGTTCTCTCGTGTCCATAACACATCCTTTTAGACGACGGATCATTCGTAGGAGTCTTGGGAGATACACCAAGCAATGTCTCGGCTCATAAATTCTAAGTATTTGAAGGAAAGAATGTACATCTTTTGCGCTACTAAGATCTTTCCAGTGTGCAAACTTAGTGGGAAAGCAAAATATCAGAAGTTGAAATATTCTCTAATTTCAAATATAATTTTGAAATAGAGAAAATGAATGGTATCCCTGGGAGGTTTGATGCAGGACAAGGGACAAATGATGGAAATACAGGGTGATCCCAAAAATACAAGTCTGGTCAACCCATTATTAATAGCTAGACAAGTTAATCTTGTCTGAGTAAATAATGGTAGTACCTTCATGTTGGAAAAAAAAACATTTGGCAATTTTAGCAATAATCCAAGGCACTTGTTGAAATTTATTTAGTTATGTCATCTACCACTTCTATTGATGTAGATAGTGGATTGGGAGTTGGGGGCAGTGCTTTTTATTCTGTTTTTATTGTATTTTTGGTTTTGGGATGCATGTTCCAATTCAGCACTGTATTTGATAATCACTTATTAACAGTTGTGTGGAAGGATATCAATATGCAATGGGATATGTGGATGCAGGGAAGAGGTATATAGTATCATAATAGGTTTAATGCTGTTTTATTGTACATTAAAGATAGCTCATTTTTTAAATCATGTTAGCTTGATTAAATATTAATCGTGAGGAAAATGGAGCAAGATCTAATTTCTGGATCTATTTTTAGGAGAAAAAAAATCATGCATGTATCCTAGAAAACAAATGATTCCCAAGTCGTTATGTGATAAAAAGAGGTGAAGTAAAGGAATTAGTTTAGAAGAAAGAGAAAGCAGATATGTATAAAACAATAAATGTGCACATGTAGCTCAAAGCACATAACAATTAACAGGTTAACATTTTAGGCTCTCATGATTATATCAATTATAGCACCATACAATAATCTGCATTACATCTAATTGGCATTTTACTTGGTTTTGATTTCAAAGAAACCCTAAATCTAGTTCTCATTTTGTTGGGCTAGAGAGAAAATCATTCCTATGATTATGTGATCCGTCCTATTTTGTTTCCTAGACTTTCTTGGCCTCGCCATGTATTTTGATTTTAAAGCAATAACTATGTATTATGATATCATTGCAATACCTGGCATAGACTACTTTCTTCATTGTTTCATCTTGATATTACTACAAGTAATAGCATCTCATAGGTTTCTTAGATATAACATCAGGCTTGACACGTCACAGTAACAATTTCCAAAGTTTTGTATTTGTGATCATGTTTTGCAGTGATCTATTACAAAGTGTGCTGCTTTTCTTGAATAATGCATTTGTTCCCAAAATGGTTGATTTTCATCCTTAAAAAAGAATCAGGTTCACACCCCCCCCCCCCCCCCCCCCTCCCCATGCTTATTTTCAAGGAATATATTGTATACCAATTTAAAAATGAACAGTTAGAATTTGAGGTAAATGTCCAGAACTGGGGGAGTGGGGAGGGTAGGGGCATATTAATGTTTATGAAAAGAGAGAAGAGCAACAACAAAAAATGCACCATTCTGTTTTAAAAACAAACAGCTTCACATTATCCTGTGTATTGCAAAGCTTTGTAATTTTAGAAATGGAAAATATGAGTGGCAATTTTGAATGTAAACAAAAAATATATTGTATAGTCCATTTGTGAATGCTTTTCTCGACTACAACTACCTGTATCTCCATTCATTTTCTTTCAATAATTACCTATTATGCTTTCAGTTTTATTCATTTTCAATTTCATTTATTCATTTTTGGTTTCCTTTCTCTCTCATCATAGTAGATTTTCTTTTTCTCTTACATTCAGATCACTTGGTAAAAAATAGGTAGAGAATCTTATGATTGATTTTTGGACAGATTGTGCATAAAGATACTTGACAAATCATGATTTAAAGAAATTAGTTGAGTCTTTAAATCAATATATAATCTAAGGGCAAGCTTGATGCAAATGTGAAGTTTACCTGTGTCATTTGATGAAAATATTTTCTCCATAACCCAAATAACTCTTCCAAAAACAATGTCCAGGAAACAAATAGAAAGCTTTTAATATAAAGAGTGCACAATCCCTCAAAAGACAGGATTTGGCCAGGTTCTGACGCCATCAGACATCCCCCAGTCTCTTATTGATCGATGGATGCGAGAGGAAAAAGTGGGTGAATTGATGGAGGGGGGTATCACCTGGTAATGTCATTAATCTGTTAAACTCTATTCAACATGTGAAGTCTACTTTGCCACCCTTTTATTCCTTGACTCGCTTCCATCCATAACCATAGGCTGCGATTGATCGATGGTAGAGCTCTCGAGATGGTTGTATGGCTCATGAACTTCTTTTGTGATGGGGAGAATGGCAGAGTGGAAGAACAGGTGGTTCACCTTCCTGGCCCCGGCGAGACTCTCATGTGAAATATTATGCATTACGTCCATAACAACATGGGGGTATAAATAGCATGTTTCAAAATTATGTTGACAGTTCGATAAGATTCCATGGTAATAAGATATTCACAATCAAAAGTTTATTGATTTTATAAGTAGGATACATACATGTGTAGTGGCTTTTATTTTGGGGGTGTGTTTTCTGCTCTACTTTTCAGATTTATGTCCGCTTTGTTAATTTGGTCATCTCCAGTAATGAACAAATAGTGTTTGAATCTTTAAAAGAATTGATATATTAACAATGTCCTCAATGAGAAAAAAGAGGTACAGTGTATCCTGTTCGACTAATCACAGTATTATTTCTGATTATGCTTTGACATAATAGACAAATTAAGTTGATATTATATGAACATATCAGGGACAGATGGTAATCATGATTTAGCAACTTTATTTTTGTAATGATGTTCTTCAAGAATGCAAATATTGTTTAAATCAGTATGCAAATATTGATATGTGAAAAATTAAGTTTGATTCATGTTCCAATTTTTCCATCAGATATGAAGTATATTTTACAAGTTTTTAAGTTCTCTTTTGTGTGCCTTATTTCAATATGTATTTTTGATGCAATATCTGTAAATATGTATTACCTATCTTAGATTTATTAACCATGTATTACTCAGAATTTATATTTAACTCGTACGAAGGATCATATTCATGCATAGAATTAATTGGTGTATTGATATACTGATATTGTAAATTTTACTTTGCAGATTGTATATAGATTATAATAAAACACAACTCTTCTACAGAGTCTCTTCATACAAACGGTTGTCAATGCTGCTTTTCTTTTTCTGAATGACAATTTATTTATAAACAGAATGATCTATGTACATATCGAGTACAGTAACATCTGAAGTATTTGTGTTTGATAAATCTAAAGATACTTAATTTTCATGATAAACAAGTTGTAAACTGATTGGTGATATTTTCTTTTGACTAATATTTTTCTACTTTTACAGTAGCTGCATTTACACTGCAACCAAAAATTGTTGATTTTTCTCACATTCTGGTGTTTCTGCGGCAGTTACATTACAACTGTCGGCAAACACGACAAGAAAAATCTAAATCGCAAAAATCCACCTCTGGAGTGTGGTTTTTTAAACGCCTGCCAAAGTTTCACAGATTTTTGGTAAGATACCACTTTTTGCTCACATGACCCTCCTTGCTAGCGCATGCAGGGCACCGAGGAGTCTCGGAACGCACTCTACTCACACAAAAAAAAAACAGTAGGAGCGAACCTCAACAGTTTTGTATGTATTTTTCCAGTAATGTAAAATGGTAGACACCAAAAAGTGGACAATTTTTCAAAATGGTGTTTGGGATGTGTAAATAGGCCTAGTTTGAATGTTGCATCTTTGATTTCTGGGTTTTATCCTTTTTTGTGTAAAAGGTCAAACCTTACCGTCCAAGGTAAACCAAATTTTTATCAAGATCATGCATATGGATATATTAAATTGAATCGTGAAGTATATTATAACCAATTTAGAATTGTTTTGGCCCTTTTCTCTTGAATATCTTGTTCACTTCAGAAAAAGTTTTTTTTTTTAAGTCAATATTTCAAAATGCAAAAAAAAAATGCCTACGAATCAAAGTGGTATCCAAGATATATTCATTATAAAATAATCAGTCAACTTTGTACTCTACCTTGAAATTAACTTCCTGGCATTCTGGCACATTAATGCAAATTATTTAAAGGTAGTTTTACTAATTTTATAAAGATTTTTATTGCACCAATATATTTTACTTTCCTATTTCCTTTTCAAAAATAAGCTGTAATTGGGAAACATATTCTACAGAACTGAAATTGAGGAACTATTAAAAAATATAGCCTGATTTGTAAAAAAAAAATTTCTTTGGGAGGGGGGGGGGGGGGTGCAGAGATGCCAACCTTCTTCAACAAAAAAAAGTATTCTTAAGAGCAAAAAACAGTATTTTTGAAAAAATCTCTCAACTTAACATATCGCCCAATCGAGCAGCTTAAAAAACCCAGGCAGTACCAGTATACGTACCCGGATCGGAGCGCGACGTGCATACATTACACATGGGTTGTTCGCAATGTGCGCAGTTTGGGGCCCGTATCACCATCCTGCGTGCATCGTTTTAAGATGTAGGTGCATGATACACTTACGACACAAAGCCCATGATCAGAAATTAAGAAAAACATCACTAAAAAAAAAATAAAAAATAAAAAAACGTAACAAAACATACAAAAAACGTACTGCCGTATTCATAGCGAAAAAACAGAAAAAATACGGCAAAAACGGAACAGTTGGCATCTCTGAGGGTGTAGTTGGTGTAGTTTTGAGTTTTAATAAGAAGTACTGCATTTTTTTTTTTTTTGCATTTCATTTCTTATTTTGATCAATAACAGTTAAACACTACCTTTAAATTTTGAATAGATGTATTCACCACAAAAACTGATCACAAATAAATACTTGTAATTATGAAGTTCAGTTCATTTCCTTTTTTATTATTCATAAAAATATTGCATTCAATAAGAACACAATCTCATCATATTTAAGACGAGCAGCTGTGAAACAAAGAACTTAAAGAAGACAGAGAAAATACAAGATTCCATCTGAGAAAGCATACATGGTAAAATGTTAAACTGAACATCCTAATGCTTTATAACAAAACACATGTCTCATAGTTTTCAATAGTTTGGTATTGGTTTTAGGTCCCGTAAACAGACAAACTTTGGCACCTGTATTTCTCATACATGTAACTGTAATGAGCATAAATTTAGCAACCAAGAAATAGCTCTATTGCTACTATTGGCAATAAATCAAAGAGTAATACTGTACAAGATAAAGATAAATGTATTACATTCAGTAGCTTTTCTTCCTTCTGACCTTCCATAAATGTTGAAAGCAAAGTTGTTGTTTTTTTAATTTCGGTGAAAACTGCAGCAAAACTCACATTTGGAGGTTTTCTATCCTAAAAAGAAAACAAGTCTCTAAACAATTGGGTATGCATACAAAATTGACATTATTGTACCAAACATTGCACAGATAATAAAAGCATCCAATTTTGAATAGAAACTATGCTCATTTGCTTTCACTTCAACATGTTAGCTTCGAGGTCATCTACTGATAGTTATGTCACCTTTTCAATGACATGTGCAAAATGTGTTGTATTTTATTGTTAATTTTGTATTTTTACATTCTAACACAATGGATAAATCTTCTTAAAACAAATTTTCACCCTACAGCAGATGGTCTTTAGGTATTTTTTATTTTTCTTCCTTATTTCTCATTGAAACTTATGGAAAATTACGAAGGGAAATTGTGATTAAGAGAGTAAATCTACGTAATCATTTAAGTTTATAGAAAACGGGTACAAAGAGGGTATCCAACAATAAAATGAATTGAAATCTGATTTCAAGGTTTTAACTATAACACTGGAAAGCAAAGGTTCTTCTGTACATTGAAATGAATGTCATACATCATGAAGAAGAATACGAGTTCAAATTTTCACTTCATAGCATAGAGGTACACAATGCTTATATTATTAATTTATATGCTGATTAATATATATTCAAGGTGAGGTGAAGGACAAGAAGTTAAAAACATATTGCCTCGGTACCTACTATGGTACCAGTACATCACAGAGCCTTGTCACATCATATATCAAAACAAATTTCAAGTCTGAGTAATCAATTATATCCTAATTCGGTAAGTTGCATATTTCTATTAAAGGGGCAAAGATGTCATACTCTGAAAGCTATGTTGATTGTTCTAACAAATCCAAATAAGGACAACTCATTGCTTTCATGTCTGCCAAATCTGACTGTGAACAAATAAATTTAAGAGAGACTTCTGGGAAAGCAAACAAAGAGTTATTCTAACCAATTAAATTTGATATGACAATCAACATACCTCTCTTTAACATAAAAAGCTATTATAGTTTTCAGCATATGGGCTAGTAGGATTTAACTACAAAGAATAAAAGCAACTTCATCGATGCAGAACATTGGGAGATCCTCAAAGCACCATTAGGAAGCAACATTGGAATAGTCAATGTGCGGTTGCATTACATGGTGTCTAAACTCATCTCCTCTTTACAATATTTTCAATAATAATAATCAATGATATAGTCGAGGCCAGCAAATCTTAATCGTGAAGCCGCTGAAAAATATCACATTCCATAGGTTTTGTACACAGGTCAAGGCCACCGAAACATGGCCGAAGCTGGACTTGACTACAACACTGTTAATAATTCAACGTAATTATGTCTGGTCCATAGCATGTACTATCTACCACCGAACTTGGCTTGTTGAGCTATGAGACCTTCATTTTCTTGGACCTGGTACTCCTGAAATCTCATGGATACTCGCTGGGTCATCTTCAGATACTTCTCCATGCAGTTGAATGAACAGCGTTGCTGCAATGTAAAAGAAAAACAAACAAAATATTTGAAAATAAGAAGACAAAAATAATATTTCATATATTTTAAGACTTGGGGGGGTTCAATCACGATGTTTTTTCATGCATGTTTAAAAATCTGTAGCTATCATGCAGTGGCCTAAAATCTGTTCCAAGGAATGAGAAGGGGGAGGGTTATGCTTACAATCAGGCATGAACATACCCACCACTCTTGTGAGATAAATGTGAAATGAAAATTTTAAAAATGTTTTAATTCTAGTTTTGGATTTAAACTAGAAAAAGGAAACTTTCACGATTACATGAGTCATTTATCAACTTTGTCAACATTTTCATGGAGTGATTTGAAAATTATTTTTCCTTGATAACTTGGGGGGGGGGGGGTGCATTTTAACAGGCCATCCCCCTCCTTAAAAAGTGATTAATTTGCAAAATCATTTTCCTCAATAAGTTGGGGGGGGGGGGGGGGGGGAGATGCATTTGAACAGGCCACCCCCTCCTTAAAAAGTGAGTTTTACGCCCATGCTGTCATATATATTTCCCTTAACAACTGCAATCTTTATGGTTCATTTGATCTATTTTCAATTGATTCTAGTTTACTATAGTTATTATGCATAGAAAAAATAAACCTTATTTGACTCATCTCAACAATGGTATATGTTTTCAAAAGTAATACCAGCATCAGAGTCCAATGATAGCTACCTGTAAACTTTGTTAATATAATAAATTCACAACTTAAAATCAAATTATCTTTGGCAACTAGAGAACATAGAAAACACATTTATAAGGATACTTCGAGATATGTTCTGTAGATTCCTTTTGAAAAACAGTCAAAATGGAAACAGATTCAATCTTGGGTGATTTCTGGCCAAGCAAAATGCTTTAAAGGCCATCGGTACTAGTTTGGCTAGAGGGGATTAGACTACCCAGGGTGGTCACTGACAGGTGGCTATCTCATCAACTCAGTTCTCAATTAACATAAGAAAAAGAGGATCATGGGGGACTAATGATCACTGATTAGGCATTGTTTTCTACATAGAGGGAGCAAGTAGCTACAAGTAGTACAGTGGGGATTTAAAACTCAGATATATATTGACAAGTAACCTCATTGTCCTGTAGTTTTCTGCTGGTGAAGTCACTGACGCAATCCGAGAAGCAGGCTTCTGTTAGCTTGTTGTAGGAATGGAGGAAATCCTTCAACTGTGATGAAAAATACACAAAAAGAATGTCACTTATGCCACCTTTACTTAATGTATTTCGTGTGTAGGACAGGTAATGACTTTCTTCCAACCTACACTGTAGATGATTTTGTCTGTTCTTCTCGGTCAGTTTCTCTGCTTCTCTATCCCTCTTCCAACCTAAAGCCCCCCCCCCCCATGATGCTAGTGGAATTCTCGTTGTTTTTCCATTTTTCTTTATCTGTGTAGCTGTGTTGATTTCAGCACTCTCTTTCAACTCTAGTGTTACTGTACAACCTCATTTTTTCCCCCATTACAAATATATATTTGTATTTGTATAAATATATACCAAGACATAGTACGGTATGTATGATGTTTCTCACAATTTTTTCTTTTCCTATCATTCATTCCCTCTATATATTTTATTTATCAGTACCACCACCCCACTACCACTCACCCCACACATACATTTGCTTGTAATATATACATTTTTATTGTATATATACATGTTTAGTGTTTTATTTTTAAAAAAGCTATTGCATTTTTATATTGTAGTTTTAAGCAGAAGAGGATCCCCGATAAACCTCTGTGGTTTAAGATCACCCCTCTGTACATGTAGGTTTATCTTTTGTTTTAAAGCCTTTACATTCGATTGTAATTTATATTGTCTTTTTATGAATTGTGAGGAAATAAATGAATTGAAAAATTGAATATCATGACTAAAGAAGAGGCTACATGTTCATTTATCTCAGAAATAAAGCCAAATTCAGATTGCTACAACTACTTTGTTGCCATAAATAATACAGCAATGTGATGGCTAGGGTTTATATGCTGATTTGCATCTTTTGCAATATAAATTATTTGAAGATGCAATTCTCGTACCTGCTTTGGATCCATTTGAGGTTGCAATGCCATGATTTCAAAGTGTTGCTAGTTTCTTTGCTGCAGGTACCAGATCTTCTGTGGAACAGCAACAGGGGTGTAGGTGAAAGTCAAGCTTTACAAATGTTGATCTGCAGTCTTTCAGATCTGAAAAGAGATGTAATATTATGCAGTGAAACATTAATATGAATAACAAGCATAATCTATTGAGTGTGGGAGAATCACTCTATAAAGTCATGATGCATCATAGACATTTAAGAGATAAAATATCTGCATACAAACGCAATTAATCATTCTTTTTTCCTTCTCTATTACATGATGTCATTCACAATTCTTGATTAGCGGTAAATACATGTTTCCATGAATTCATTTACACTCATCATTGAGAGTGTACAGATTGTACAATTCATCAGCTATTTCAGCTTTCTGAGTGAAATAATGAATATTGACCACATAAAAAGTACTCCAGGTAGAAGGAAAGAAAAATATAATAACTTTTTGATAGATTTAAAGGAAAATTCAACATCAATAGCTAACAACTCTAAAAGAAGAGCAGACTGGTGACAGTTTGAACAAAATCGGACAAAAAATAAGAAAGTTATGACTTTAAAAAAGTTGCAATCACTATACCTATGGGGACTTTAAATTGCCTGAATTCTTCTACACAAAATGACTAAAATGTCTTCTTTATTTCTTCAAAATGTATGACTCAGGAGTGTATTTTCTGTTCAGCGGACCTATAAAATATACTATTCATAATATATTTTGAGTATTACCCCAAGGGAGAAGGCATTTAGGAGAAAATATTAAATTATTAATATATTTTTATATGACAAAGGGGAGAGTTTTCTGTGACTATGTCACAATCCATAGCTAAGTGACCTCATATTTCAAACATTCATAACTCTCTCATTATTGGTCTGATCTATTTCAAACTTTCGCCATTTTCTCTTATTTGTCGGTTCTCATACAAATAAACTTATTACAAGGTTGGATTGCCCTTTAAACGAACTAGGCATCCATGTATGTCACCTAAAATTCAAACCAGAAATGAAGGGATGAGTTAAACAGAATCCTACTACAAGACTTGTCTGTCTGCCAAGGATCACATTCTCAAACGTACCTGCCCACTGAGTGTGCTTTCATTTCATGAGGTGAGTACATATGAGAGAATACTTCATGAGTGGAAGTTCTTGGAATAATCAGCTGCTTTGGAAGACTATATAATCTAGCACACAACACACTTCAATGGAATATCACAAATATTCTCCCATTATAAAGGACATCCAAACAGAATCTTGAGGAGATTATGCGTGCGATGGATAATGACAGTGGCTCTTTGACGGAATCTTTGACTCTTGTATGCATAGATGAATGGATTGACCGCTGTACTAAGGGCTAAGGTTATATTACAAGCACTGGAGAGACCGAGGAATACGTGCGAGTTGCCCAAGCTCGAATTTGCCAGGTGTGTGAAGTAAGCTAAGCAGGTAGGTAAGAAACACAGGATGAAGCTGCCGAGGATGAGTCCGACGGTTACGGTGGCCTTGATATCCTTCATCAAGCGAGGTTTACGTCTGACACCATTCTTGAAGAGAACAGCTATCTCGAGCTGTGCCACACGGCGGGTCTGCCGTCTTGCCTCTCTGAACATGACAAAGTAGAGGAAGACCATGATGAGGAGAGGGATGATGAAACATGCTGTGAAGAGGAAGATGAAGTACTCATGAGGCAGGATGAGGAGATAGCTGCAGACTGGTAGCGGGGTATCCATTGCATTGTGCCACCCAAACTGGGGCAGGAGACCGATCAGCAAGCCTAAAGACCAAGCTAGGAAGAGGTAGACGTTCACTCGTAATTCCGACATGATCACAAAGTATCTCAGTGGTTTGGTCACAGCGGTGTAACGATCGACAGCTATCAGGAGAAGGTGGAAAATAGAGACGGGGAAGTTTATCATGAGAAGAGTAAGACTCCAAAGGCACGTGGTATATTGGCTGATGTCCGTGGTATATGAGACTACAAGACATAATGGAGCCAAAATCACATAGAAGAGGTCTGCGCATGCTAGACTAACAATATAAGTATTTGCGGGCACTCTTAAGATGGACTCTCGCTGGTAAGTGAAGATGATTAACATGTTCCCAATGGCGTTGATGACAATAATGATGGCAATGACCACGTAGATGGCCACATCTGACATCCTAACGATTTCAGCTTCCAAGACAGAGGAATTTAACGCCATCAAGGAATTTTTCCATAAAGAGCCGAACATGAGACATGGCAAATGCGTATACAGATATCCATTGCCTCCTGTAACTTGAAAAATGAGTGCAAAATATCATCCAATTCCAACTCGACTACCTCAGAAGTGATAGCTCCATCATCCTCTATGTATCCCTGAGTTACCGTGGCAACAGGAATACCTTCCCATTGATGCTGCATTGCACCTATAAGAGCAGGTGTTTCGCACCTTCCAGGCCATCCATGTTCATCACCTCTCCTTTATGTTCGCCAACCGAGTTGTTTCCATCACCCTGGAAATGATCACTGCCCGATGAGGGCTTCCTTATAATATGATCGATGGCACTTGACTTCACACCGCGACGATGGTGGTGATATAGTCTGTGAGATGAAATTTGCTTTTAACATTTAATTTTTTTCACCAACAATCATTGGGTCAAGGCTTTGTGGGTTCATTTATCAGCCAGTACATTCTTTAGCTTCCATAGTGATTGTTGCCATGTGTTGATGACGGAATGCATTAATATCATAGACAGGGACCCAAGTGTGCTCGATCACAATAGTTTCAAAGCCTATATAGCTTGGTAAGCAAAGAGCCCCAATAGCATTCCCTTCACATTTATAGTACATATAGTAATCGCAAGATACACACAATCAGTGCTGCAAAATAATTTCTACCAAAGTGGAGTAGAAGCAAATAAGAAGTAACACACAAATAATATCCAAAACTGTGACCAGAATCAATTTTTCTCATGTGCCTGTGCTCTGCAAACACAACACAAAATCAACCAAAAAAGTGTGTGTGTTTTTTTTTTTTTTAAACGCCCACTGATTTTTGCAGTGTAAATGCAAACCGATACTGCTAAGATACAGATTTTTTGCTCAAGTGACTCTCCTCGCTTCTGTGCTAACACATGCAGGGCACTGATAAGTGTTGCTGTCTCATGCGTACTACTCACCAAACATTAGTTAGAGCAAACCTGACAGTTTTGTATGCATTTTTCCACTAGTGTAAATGATAGTCCAAATTTCTTCAAAATGATTTTTTGAATGTGTAAATGGGCCTAAGGACAATACAAAAAGAAACTACAGTACTTGTATGGGGAAGTCTGTTAAACATTAACGTCTGTTAAACATTAACGTCTGAACATGGCATTACCAGATTTCAAAATCACTATTTTCCCCTTATTTATTTTGGCTTATAACTTTTCAATTACAGTAAGACTTGCATTGGTCTGAACCTGGCTCATTTCTTTCACACCTGAATGATTATGCTTTATATTTGTAAATAAAGCCCCTTTTCTGCTAAATTTCTCTTGAATTTTTTGTATCAAACATTGCCTTTCTCTAAAACTTCTGTTTGATCTCAGCCATATTTTTGCCAATTGCCTTATCAAACTGTTTGGCTGGTCTTGAATAGCGCCCTCTGTCTTCTAAATACCATTTTTCTTATAATGTTTGCTTTGGTGTGAAACTTTGCTCATATTGTAAACTTTAATACCATAATACCATTGCTCATGTCATCATTGAGTTTTATTTATGAACAATCACGCTCTATCTTGAATAGCGCAATCTTTCTGGTATAGATGTATCATATACCTTTCCTTACAACATTTGCAAGAAAAATTGCTTTGATCTGAAATGTTTGGTTGTCTCCACCTGGGGGCCGTTTCTTGAAACCAACTCCATGACAGTCATATCTTTGTCGCCGACCTAAGGAGATGTCATGAAGTGGATAAACCGTTTCACAAAGCCATGACAAGCCATGACAGACATGATATCGATATATCGCGATACTAGCAGCTCGAGAACATAGTCTTTGTCACGATCCATTTGATTTATCAAGAATAATCCAAAACAAGTTTTGGGGCTAAAATTGTTCAAAAAGAAATATATACATATAAATTCTCCTAAAATAAATAATAAATAGTGTCATTATCAAATGAAGATCATCAAACGATTTGCATATTTCTGTAAAGATTCTTAAATTGAAGAATAACCGGTGTTTTTTTTTTTGACAGTCAAATCAAAAGTTAGTTGAAGGATACCGTAATGTGATAGTTTATCAATACTTACTTTTTTGTTTTGTTTGAAGAATTTTGTTTGAAGAATAACCGTTTTTTTTTTTTTGACAGTCAAATCAAAAGTTAGTTGAAGGATACCGTAATGTGATAGTTTATCAATACTTACTTTTTTGTTTATTGTGACAAGGGATTTTAGGCAAAATACCTTTTCTCATCCAGTTTTTATTCTAGAGTCTCATAAATACTTGTTATATAATTGATTTGATATTGAAAATATAATTTGAAACAAGTTATTACAAAGGAAACATTAATGCACAAAGGCCCCAAGGGGCTGCCGGCCCTTCGTTTGTTTCTGCCTTGCCTTCGGAGGTACGGAAGTCAAACTGCTTGGGCCATGTGGATCGTCTGTTGTTGGATGTTGCGCAGTCGAACAGCTTGGCTCATGGTCGTCCGTGTCTACCCCTCCCTGGATGCCCTCGATTGCCGTTGAACCCATAATGTCCAAAACCCTTTTCTCGACGTCGTCGAGGGTGTCTACTGGGGGAGGGCCCCCTCCCGTCTTCGCTCTCTGCTTACGAAGTTGACTATATTTGTTTTTGGTCATCGATTGGTACTTAGACCATTTTGCCCGGACTTCATCCCCTGTCCTCTCCCCTCCTGCGATTCCGTTGATCTTGACTGCAATTTCATGCCATTTCTTTTTTTAAAGCTTCGCGGAACTCAAGTCTTTAAACCCCGCAAACAGGAGTAGATGGTTTTCTTCTACTTCGTTTACCAAGAGGTGAAGTTCATCCGCGTTAAAGTTGGCCCGTCGCTTCGCCATGGTGGAACATGTGATTACAAAAAATTAAAGCCCCTTTATATATAGCATACAACCGCCCCCCCCCCTCTACATTCATTTTTATTTACATAGATTAGGCCTACACCCGATCAATCAAATGTTGAGCTTCAGCTTCAAGTCTTATGTCAAATTTCTGCTGCATATAATATAATTTTGTTAAGTCCAGTGAAGATATAAATTGATGAAATTTGGGCGTGTATTATTTTTGTATTGTGCATATTATACCGACCAATCACTGATCGATAGGGATGGACGTCTGATCTGAAAATGAAGAATTAGGAGACTTTCCGTACAGTGCCAGGTAGGATCGATTTAATACATTAGTGGCACATAACTATACACCGGACATACTATGTGAGATTTAAATTCCCAGACGAATCCGTTTGGAAGTGAATTCCACAGAGGATGCATGCGTTTCAACGCCATGAAGGTCAAAATTGCACCAATCTATAGCATATCTGTATAGGCATGGTAAGAAAAAAAAGGGGGGAGGGGCAATAATTATTCATTTTCATATTCTCATAACGTCATATCACATTGTCACAGAAAATGGGATGTTCAATTACAGCAATAAGATATTGGAACATCAAATGTTCTAACTGAACAAGATTTATATGCTACCCTTTTCCCATTCATATTGCATTCTTATCATGTGTGTATGTGTGTGGGGGGGGGGGGGTGGGAGCCCCTCCTTCCTTATGGCGACGGACTTTTCAAATACACAGGATATGAGGTGATGAAATTGGGTGTGTATTAATTTTGTAGTTTGCATATTATACCGACCAATCACTGATTGATAGGTATGAACGGCTGATCTGAAAATGAACAATTAGGAGACTTTCCGTACAGTGCCAGGTAGGGTAGCTTTAATACATTAGTGGCACATAACTACATGTATACAGGGTAATAATTGGAGCAGCGCCAGGAGCGTCACAACATGACGGACATGTGCGCTATATAAGAAGCCACCGTTATTATTATTATTATTATACACCGGACATACTATGTGAGATTTAAATTCCCCGACGTATCCATCTGGAAGTGAATTCCACAGAGGACGTATGTGTTTCAACGTGACTTCCATAATTATCAAATAGGTCTAGTGGTATTAAAGGCCCACACTTAAACTAACTTTGGTTCATCCAAAGTTTTCATAAAAATATTAATTACTCCATTAATTTAGTATGTACAAATATATTTTTGAATATTTAATAAACAGCGAAATCTCATTTTGATCTTTTAAATTAGGAGAAAACCCATGACAGAGAGTGAAGTTTAAAAGGACTTTTGGTTATATAGTGCCCCGAATCTCAGCGCAAAGTACATTTGATTTTGAAATAGATGAATAAAACCGCCAAATGTCTTGTTTTAATAAAATGAGATACGAAATTCAGGAAACACAAGCCTACTTTATTCAGTGTCAAAACTATTGCTACTGTACATGTACATTGCGCCGAAATTATTTCTAGGTAAATTTGAATTCCAAAATAATGTAGGTCTTTAAGTATACTGGATATGTTATCTTTTGTCTGTATTCATCTAAATTGTTTCCCTATTGAATGGTTATCATGGAATGCATGACATACAGTTCTTTGAGATGTATTTCCATATTGCTCCGCATGTGACTGGCTTGCATGTTTCAGTTTATTTTGTGTTTTGTTGGTGGGGACGGGGGTGCACATAGGCATAGCAGTGTGGGCGGTGCCTGAATATTTAACAAGCACGCATTTTCTTGTTGTGATTATTCTGTTGACATGCAATGTTAATGAGGGAAAGACACCGGGGATGATATCCCCAGCCCCTCTCCAACCAATGATAGAAAAATGATTAAAGGAAACCAAAACCTTCATACTAAGTTACTTTTATTGTAAAGTTTAAGATATTTGAAAAATATCAGTGAAAATTTGAACAAAATCGGGCAAGGAATAAGGAAGTAAGAGCTTTTTGAAATGACTAGTCACTAGAGGGCGGTATTCAATTTGATGACATCATCTGTGGACAACTCTCCATGCCTTTTGTACATCAAATTTTATGTTTTTCCTTCTTTCTTGTGATTGAGATAATGTACTCCCCCGAAAGCAAGATATAGAATGCAAAATGATATTCTACTTCACATTTTATGAAGTCAGATCAAGAACACAAATAAATACGAAGAAAACAAAAAAATTGTGAAATTTTATGTACAAAAGGCATGGAGAGTTGTTCACAGATGATGTCATCAAATTGAATACTGCCCTCTAGTGACTAGTCATTTCAAAAAGCTCTTAGGCCTACTTCCTTATTCCTTGCCCGATTTTGTTCAAATTTTCACTGATTTTATTCAAATCTTTTAAACTTTACAATAAAAGTAACTTAGTATGAAGGTTTTGGTTTCCTTTAAAAATGTATGTTGTCCGTGCAACGATATACTCATGATGTTACAATCAACAAAATAATGAGATAGATGTATGTATAATAATTGCTCTCACATTACTCAGACATATTAAATACTTCCAAGCCTGATTTTATTTAAGAAAGTCGTAGTTTTATTTTGTTTGAAACTTGCATCCTCTTTTAGCCTTAACATAACACGCCCCTTTTTAATCATTCACTACCAGTTTGAATTCTTTAGTTTGCTTGAATTAATGATTTTAGCTCCTCCCTTTGCGGATGTTTACGAGTGCTAAATATTCCAGACAGAGCATTGAATTATTTAATTAAGTCATGAAAGTCATACATTAAAAAGAAAATATTACGTTTATATTAAATCAGCAATGGTGGCTATAAAATAACGACTATCGCAAGTTTTTTAACCTTCTGCTCATTCGTTGACTGTCTCTATATATTTGAAGGTTGTATATTCAGAGTAGTCCTATATCTTAAGGAAAATGGCTGCAATTCTGCAAGCACACCGCAATGACATGCGAAGGCAATATATTCCGTGATCGAACGTGTCCTCTAGATATAGGCTAGATCTATACGATGACCAAGAACTCATCGCTAGATATAGATATAGGCTGACGAATGAAAGAGACAGACATTTTCGGTCTAAGCCTTACTATCAGCTAGAAAAATCTAGGCCTATCTCCCTATGCCATGAGTCATGGCATAGGGAATGGTTGGCAGCTCTGCATGACCATGTCGAACGCTAGTGGACATGCACCTACCCCGCGGCCCCGCACCGTACGCCGCCAGGCCAGGCGTTAAAAGTTTCTGTCTCCGCTCATTCGGGAGAGCGGCTTGACTACCTACACCTTGATACAAAAGAACTTACAATAACATATTAATTATTGCGGTATGTGATAATTACGTCATCGACAGGTTTCCACTCAACTCTTACATTAAATGCACCAAGACAAAATTTAACAAAGGTGAAATTAGATTAGAAAAAAGATTCCTACCTCAACTCGGGCGAGTGAAGAGATCACAATCCACGGCATGCATGGGTATGTGAAAACAAGTAACCGAAAAAGCGTATTCAATTGTTGCGAATTTGATGATTACCTTGAAGGAATAGCGATCTATTGTACGCGGTGATAACTGACAAGTAGTCTAGATAACAGCAGTATCAGAAGGGGAGGGTCACGGGTTGCAGAAATTGAATTACGAACTTATATAAGTCAATTAATCTACTTTTATTAGGGTATTTGTATTTTTATTTGATTTCATAAGATACGATATATGGATTTTGTATAAAATAAAAACCTCAGTATGATCATGTGCATGGAGGGGGAGTTGGGGCAAAGAAACCAAAGTGTCTGAAAAACCCGGCCCCCTCGTATATAGCAATTCGTGTTATAGGCCTATGTGCCCTATGGGTTAGATTTGGGGTAGGCCAAAAATAAAAAAAATCATTCAGTTGTCCTCGATTGCTTTTCTGGAGTAGGGGCGGGCGGGTGGATTTAAAAACAAACAAAAAACTTTTTACTTCATTTATTGTGTGTCTTTTGGGGTTTTTTTTCCCCCCATTTTTTTAAATTTTTTTAAAATAATTTATTTTCCATAAAATTTTTTAAAAAAACGTTGAGATGTCAAGCATTTGAACAAACAAAGTCTATAAAACACTTTAATATGGTGAAAGACTACAATGAATATCAAGACCAACACAGAAAGTATTTTTAGCTCTGAAATACAGCACCTTTTAAATCTCCATCGTACTACTTATAGCTACTTGCGCCCTCTATATAGCAAACAATGCCTAATCGGTGACCATTGGTCCCCCATGAACCTCTTTATCTTATGTTAACTGAGAGCTGATTTGATGAAACAACCACTTGTCCAGTGAACTTGCAGGGTGGTCTAAACCCTCCTGTAAGCTAGTACAGATGGGCTTTAAAATGAGTTTAAGAATGCTCAAAACCTGATTTGAATGAACGGCATTTTGATTTAGAAAAATAAAAATGGCAAGTTTAATAACTACAGAATTGCGTACTGAAAAGACCAAACTGGCAACAGGATGCACTTTGATCCTTGCAAATGCATAAATGTTTGGCATTTGAGATTGCTCCCCCCCCCCCCCCAAAAAAAAAAAAAAAAAAAAAAAATAAAGATAAAATAAAATAATAATAATAATAAATAAATAAATAAATAAATAAATAAATAATATTAAATAAATAAATAAATAAAAATAAAAACAAATACGAGCGGCCCGAAAATGACACGAGCGGGCGGTCGAGTACAACCAACAAAATACGGGCACTTTTTGGAAAATGGGGCACGTACAAAGTGAAACAAGAAAGCGAAGATATACACATTTTGGACATTGACAATACCATGCATTGTGATTGATACTTTATCAATAATTATTTCAATTTTCTTTTTTCTCTTTACATTGCCCCAAAATACTGCCTAAGCATCATATTTGGCAGTTGGGTTAGCTGGTCTAAAGATTTATTTGTGAACAAGCGAGATAAGAAGAAAAAAAAGAAAATGATTTGAGAGGTCCCGTTTAATACGACCAATTAGGTCTTAAAAAGAGGAAAAAATAATCCTGATGGTGTTTAAGCATAATCTCATCATGAAAAACTAAAAAAATATTTAATAAGTTACACAATTACATCAATCAGGCGCGTACGCAGGATTTAACATTTATAAATCGGGCCGAAAATTTCGCAACGACTCAGCCAGCCGCTGAATAAGCGGGGGGGGGGGGGGGTTAAACATCCTCATTAAAAGGGCGTCGCTAAAATATTGACATTAAGAAGAATAACAAAGCGAAACAAACGTTTGATGAAAAATAAGGAAAAAATATTTTAGTTTATATTACGATATTCTTTAACATCTCTTTGGAAACGTGCATAGAAGATATGTATAGAATCACTGGGTTATATGATTATACATTCTGATCCCCCCCCCCCCCCCATCTTTTCCTCTTCCTCTCTCTCTCTACCTCCATAATTCTCTCTTTTTCTCCTGTAATTAAATTTCACACTCTATCTTTCAGCCACATTCCTCTATTATCTCCTTTCATATTAGTGCAATTTATCCTTCATCATGTTCTACAATACAGATTACCTGCACCCTAACATCACCTTAACACTTTAATAATCCGAAGAAGAAAAGGGGAAGTCGTAGTTCCATTGTTTATCCATAGGTGAATTTAAAAGTCCCGGGGAGTGTTTCACAAAGACTAGGATTAACATTAAAAAGTTTGGCTCTTAAGAATTCAATTTATCAAAATCTGTATATTTAAAAAGATTAACATTAAAAAGTTTAGCTTTAAAGAATTCAATTTATCAAAATCCGTGTATTATAAAATATAAATCTACTTTGAAAGGAAAAAATCCTAACAGTAGAGGCGTAAATATTCACTCCTGAACGATAAACGCCTATAAACCAAAACAACAACAACAACATGGACTTAACTATGGCAGACTGTTCATGCTACTGGTTGCTCCCGACATTATGATCTTTAAAGAATATTTTTTCCTTCTATAATGACCTATCAAAAAAATGTAAATTCTGTAGATTTGTGACCATGATTTGTACATCCCTTGAGAGACCAATGCCAGTAAACGGTGACAGAAACCGGTGGCATGAACGGCCTGCCATAGTTAACTCCAACTTAAAGTCGATATTATCCTTTGTGAAACACCCCTGGTCCTTATTTGAATACAACTGTGTAACCATATACTTTTGTGTGTATATATATATATATATATATATACAGTGCGTCCCAGAAAAAACAAAACCGAGAATTATCGATGTTATCATAACTTAATCACAATCATATTTGATAAATGACACATATTTGGAAAGCTTAGATCCTCTTCTTTCATTTCATGCAACTCACATGAGTGATTAAAACGAATTTGAAGAGAGGAAACCAAAAAGTCATTTGGCGGACGGTATCTGAATTTCAAAGAGAAAATAACATTGCTATAATTTCCATTTCCATAATTTTATCAAACGAATTCGTTTTCACTGGCTGCCTGTCGTAGCAACAAGCAGAATTGACAAAACACTTAACTCCGTTTCGTTGACAATTAGCCATGCATGAAGTCTTTCGTCTACGACTTGTTTTAAACGAAACGGAGTTAAGTCTTTTGTTAATTTCGTTTGTTGCTACGGCAGGCATCCAGTAAAAACGAATTCGTTTGATAAAATTATGGAAATGCAAGCACTACTTTAAACAAACCAGAAAATTACCCCCCGGAAAACTACCCCCGTAGGACGATTACCTCCAAGGACAACTACCCCCGAGGACAACTACCCCGAGGACAATTACCCCCCGAGGACAACTACTCCCCGAGGATAATTACCCCCATGGACACTACTGGGTATGGTGGCTCAGTGGTTAGAGCGCCCGCCTCATTAACGGGAGGTCGTGGGTTCGAACCCCGGCCGAGTCATACCAAAAAAAATTGGATCTTCTGTCTTCTAGCTAGGCGCTCAGCATATTAGATTGGAGAAGGGTAGTAATAACATGTTGTGTTATGCAGGGCCCGTTGGAAGAGGAGTTTCATAACTGAAGTGGCTACCCTGGGTAAATAAAACGTTATTAGGTGATACGTAACGAAGTCAACGTATCACCTTTTGATTTCGTCAAGATTTTTCTTTATTATTAGGTGATACGTAACGAAGTCTACGTATCACCTTTTGATTTCGTCAAGATTTTTATTTATTATTTATTTATTCTTCCTCGATTTTGTTCGCAGGATATCTCAAGACTGAATAAAGCCATTGTCATGAAACTTTCAATGATGATAGATCCCAGTCTAACTTAGAACTGCGTGACTTTTCAAAGACTCAAAATTATCGTGACGTCATCCAGGCGCCATTTTGTGAAAATCAACTTATGATCATATCTTCATAACGGAAAGTAATTTTTCATTCATATTTACCATGATTAAGATCAATATCTGTCCGGTCAATTTTAGGTCAATAAACGTGCGCAAATTTGCGCGTGCGCGTTCGTCCGCGCGTTTACGCGCGCGCAAAAATTTAAAATGCTCTAAATCATTCCAAATTTTTTTTGCATACGTTTCAGGCCATATGGAGCATTTGACAAAAAATCATGCACACGCGCATGCGCGCGCGTTTTTTGCGCGTACTACCATTTTGCAACATAGAATCACCGAATTTTCTCTGTCATCGTATTTGGCACATTTTTCCAAGCATTTTGATAATTTGTTGACCTTTTAATAACGCAATGAGCGTCCGTCAAAGTCGACAGCACGTGCGGATCTGCGTTATCTTTATCCACAATACATGGGCAAAAACATGCCTATACAAAATTCATTGTAACTCTTTAGAATAGATAGAAACTCCCAATATTTTTTCATATGTGGATAGATTATGAAATGGAGATATGATTTCATGTCTCATTTAACCCTCTTTTAACTCATCATATCATCATAATGGCCTCCGAACTCAAAATTTAAATTTGCATATTATGACGTTTGCATATTTTTGGGAAATTGATTGTATCTCTGTAAATATTGATTGTTTTTCTTCCAAATTTTGATATGTTCTAGCTGAGATAATTTTCTACAAATGTATTGTCCACAATTTTTCGGTTTGACAAAGGTATCATGGCGTATTTTTGCGATTAAAGGAGGCATGTCAATTTTTCACATTTTGCGTGTATTTTCTATGGGACATGACTATTTCTCAAAACTGGATTCTACATTTTCGTCTTTCGCGAGCAATATCTCCGTTGTTTTAGCTTTTTTTTCGTTGAGCTTTGGGTATGTTGTAGCTGAGACAATAAGCTATCTCCAGTGTGCACTTTATTTTTCAATCATATGCCGGGATCATGCTCATATTTCACTTGCAAAGTGCGATTTGAGAATTCCCTTTTCCGTTTACGTGTAATTGCTATGGGAAATGTTTTGGTATATCGGTAACGCACTTGACTTCCGACCTTGAGATCCCTGGTTCGAGTCCGGGCGTCTCCAACAATCTTTTTCTTTCCTTTTTTCTTTCTTTTTGACCTTTCACTGTACCATCTCCTTTAATTATTAAAACACGTAGAATCGCAAATAATGTAATAAACAACC